AACCAAAATGAAAAAAATGGACAATGGATGAAACGGCGTCGAAAACTGAGTCCCGTGTAGAAAGATATGCCCCGAACAAGTTCGACGCTAACCGGGGTCGAAAACCATAAAACTGAAAAAAATGACCGGAAGGAAATTCAAGAGTTCACGACTCGACAAAATGTGAAAATGAATCCCATACGAGGATCCAGGCTCAAAATAAGGCACTTTGCAATAACTTTCGTTAATTGCACAATTGCCCCTCCAAGAAATGATAACTACGAAACTGGCCAGAAAAAGATATTTTCTTAAAAATCCCTAATCAAAATATCTCCAAAATTTATTTATGAAAAATACTCCAAGAAACATTAATGTTTCTGAAGAATTCTTTCATCCACGCCCCTACGGGAAAAAAGAACAACTGGCGAGCTTTTCTCCAAAAGTAAAGTTATGCACTTCGAGGAAATCAACTGGAATGAAAACTCGTGGAGTCAAAACTCAACTCCGAACACAAAAAGTGAGGTTGTGCCAACAAAGTGACAAACGAGAAAAAGACGAAAAGTGAATAGTGTCCAAAAAGTGAAAATGTGGAAATGACTCGGTCCTTAAAGGAAGTTGTTAATCCAAAGGAAAGAGTCTCGGAAACCATTTTCGAGCACTCGAGACGGCACTAAGTGATGAGTAACCGAACTCTGAAAAGAAAATTCAACGGAAAAAATTTATCCGTAAAATTTGAGAAAAAGGAAATGAAGGAAAATGACGGGGTCATTACAATCTCACTCTATTTTGGCATCACAACTCTGTTTGGTAGAAAGAACTGATAATAATCCAATTTGATACATGCAGTCCAAGTCATTTGTTGATGGGTTATGTTTGGCAACTCAATTTGCATCTAATAGTTTAGAATAGGCGTCAATCGGCAATTTGGTGCAAAAGTCAGTCATGGCAATGCACATCACATCACAACAGAGAGGCATCTTTGTTTTATATGTTATGGGTTACCCTAAATTGAACTAATTTATCATGCAAGACCAATATATTCTTAATTAACATCATTGATGAAAGGAATTAGTTGTTCCCCACTAAATAATGTCTCCCTCTGATCTTTGTACCAAAGAACACACATAAATACACAGTTGATGTAATCGACACTAAGCGTGAATGTTTTTTTTTTTTTTTCTGGATGATTGAGCTGATTGATGAATGTGTCAAAACTAAATTAAACAGATTAAAATCTGTAGAAGCGTTTTTAAGTATTAATATGCATAAAAATAATTAAAAATTCTTAATTTAGGAACTATAGTTTGAACTATATTAAACTTTCTATAATGTCTAATATCTTGATTCAGTGGAGCTATAGTTTGAAGTAATTTTGAATTATCTTTATGATATAAATTTGATACCAATTGACACATGTAAATTACCTTCAATTGTAAACTCTGAGGTTCAAAATTCAAGCACACAATCAATTGAGCAAATTACTGAAACTAAAAGGTGCTCAAAACGGGTAGGGGGAGATCCACCCAAAATGGGTGTGTGTGTGTGTGTGTGTGAGAGAGAGAGAGAGAGAGAGGGAGAGGGAGTACTTACGAGTTCACAGAAGCACAGCGACCCAAACGACGGGGGAGATCCACTCAAAGGAAGTGGAGAAGTGGGGATGCTACTTCGCTGGGTTATAGAGACAGGGAGAAAAAGGGCGCACAAAAGAGGGTTAGGGCTATGCTTAAATCGCTGTTAGAGAGAGAGGGAGAGAGAGAGAGCTCTACACGAATGGGATTATGAGTGAGGGTTAAGGCTGATCGCTGTTACAGAAAGGGGGAGAGAGAGAGGGCTCTGCACGAAAGTGAGGGTTAGGGCAAATCGCTATTATAGAGAGGGGGGGAGAGAGAGAGAGGGTTGCACGAATGGGATTATGAAAGAGCATTAGGGTTGCACGAATGGGATTATGAAAGAGCATTAGGGTTGCAATAAGGTAAATGTATTAAATTATGGAGAAGGGCATTTTAGGGAACACAGAAAATAGGGAGAAGGGCATTTTTATCAACACAAACTTTAAACAGTAAAAATCCATGTGTCATGTCATCTTTAGGTCAAACACATTTTTTTGAAAATATAGGACTTTGACTCAATCAATGAGTAAATATGGGCCCCTAAACCTATTTATATGTAAAAATTCCTAGAATGAAAGTTTACCAACCATGCTCATTTAAAAAAAAAAAATTATTCATGTTTTTAGAAAAATCAGGAATGAAGTTATTACAAGTAAAACAAAAAACAATGTCATCTACATAATTTTTTAATAACAAAAAAATCTTTTCCATTTCTGAATATGAACAATCCCTCCCCCTCTCCTTAAGTCCTTTTGCATCAAGTAACAAGTTAATATACAAATTTATACAAGTTGGTGAGAAAGAAAAAAAAATAAAAAATTGTTGGTGAGAGTAATATAGTAAGAGCATTTATTGTATATATCTTTGGAGTTGGTGGATGGGGACGTCCCCCAACCCACCCACCCAGCATCAAACTTAGAGCATCCGCCATCCATAGTGGGGAGCTCCAAATGGAGTCACACTTTTTTATCATAGAGATCCACCTGCACAATTATGCTAACATAAACATATCCGATTCATTGTTTTTTTTTTTTTTGTTTTCTGTTGTGCAATTCGCTATCAACTCTCTACTTTTTTAACAAAAAAACTCTCTACTTTTTTTATTTTATAATTATTTATTTATTAATTAAATAATTAAATAAATTTTTTTAAAATAAATTAATTTTCAATTTTTATATTCTGAACGACTAATAAAATAAAATATAATTTTTATATTGTTGATAATTAAATTTTTTTTAATTGTTTGCTAAAAATTACTATATATTTTTTTTGATAGACTTATAGAAAACAATATTTAAAGAATTATGATATTACATATATAAATAAAAAGTGCATTATATACCTTTCCATAAATAAAGAAAAAAAATACATTAATATTTTTTTATATTTAAATAAAATATTACACCTTACATATAATCGTCCCTTGATTGAAATGTAATATAATCGCCCCTTGATTGAAATGTAACATAATTGTAGTCCCAAAAGAGTGGACAATGGTAATTTCATAAGAAATTAAAAAAAAAACATTTGTGAAATCAATTTGGTAATGGAGATGTTTGAATTTGATGTAATTAAATAGTGTAATTGAGTAAAATGCATTTTTGATATTGCTAATTAATAAAGAATATTTAAAAATATTAAGCTTATTCTCACAAATAAATAAATTAGAATAACGATAGGGAGACTGAAGAATTAACCCCGAATAAGTATCGAATCTGACGTATTTTTGTCCACCTCATCTATTTAAATAGTTTCCAAAAAATAATTATTTAACACGTTATGGACCTGTTTACTAACAAAAGTCATTCATGTTTTTTACTTTCAATTCCTAAAAATATAAAGTAAAAGTACAAATTATGTTTATTAAGATGATTTTACTTTTCAACTTTTTAGAAAGTACTTCATATTTAATGAAGGAAAGAGAAAGTGAAGATTTGTTACTTTCTTTATTTTCCCTACTGTACACAGAAAATACTTTCTGTTACTATAGCATTCACTGACCCATCAGCCGAGCATCACCCATCATCCTCTCCTCTCCCTCTCCCTCTCCCTCTCTATCATCATCATCTCATCCCACCAACTGGCAACAATGGAAGACACTAACCACCGACGACAATGGAAGACACCACCCGGCCACCACACACTCTCTCTCTATTCGTATCACTCTCTGTCTATCTGGACGAAGACGACAATGCCGAAGAAGACGATGATGTAGCTTCAGTTTTTCTGTATTCGATATTGGATCAAGCCCCAATCACTCTTTCTCTGTATTCAAAATTGGATTGAAACACCAATCTCTCTTTTTCTCATATACACCATCAACAATATACCCAAATCCATCAACCAGTCACAGAAGAAGAAAAAAAAAAAAAAATTCCCTAAAGGGCAGACCTTCGCCTTTGACAACCACCGCCACCATTGCCATGGCCGACAACCACATCCACCATCGCCACATCCGAAATCTTCTTTGGTTTATGTTAGAATGCCTCCCTCCTATGTCTTTCTCTTTCTCTCTCTACAAACACTCGCGAAACCCACCATCAATTGCAAGGCAATTTCTGGCGTCAATTGCAAGGCAATTCTTCAGTCCAGAATTTCTTCCCATGCCTGGTGGTGGTCCATTCTGGCGTCAATTGCAAGGTAATTCTTCAGTCCAGAATGAAGACTTATGAAAGAGAATTTTTGAAAGGGTTGAAAGAGTCTCTATTGACCAGAGAGACTTGGGTCAGGCAATTGACAAAGATTGGAGCATAGATAGACCCAAAGAGAGGGAGAGAGACCTATGTCTATAAAGGCGAGACGCAGGTTTAGAAACCAAATACTCTTAATTTGTGGAACCCTAGGATTGGAGAGCAATTCTTCATCAACTTTCAAGTTTCCAGAACAGAGAGGTACGGCATCAAGAAACCCCGATCAAGAAACCCTAGGATTGCAGTAATGATGATGATATATATATATATATATATAAAGCAAAATCAAAATTATATAATTATTAAACTTACTTTTTAATTTCTTACTTTAAAAATATTGAAAGCATAACAAATTAATAAACATAATTTTACTTTATATTTCAATTTTAGGAATGAAAAGTATAAGTAAAATTAAGAAAGTGAAAGCGTTAGTAAACGGGCCCTATAAGAATGACCAATCACGTCAAATTCGATATTAATTCGAGAATTCCTTTTCGATTCCCCTATCATTACTCATAAACTCGTAAATATGTAGTGCAAAGTCCACAAAGATGCTCTCAAAACTTTACTTTGCACTTTATATTTGAATTTTAGAATATTATTTTTGTCTCTTAGATGTGCTGTTTGAAAAATCGTAACTATGTGAGTCACAGTCCAAACAGAACATCAGGTTTTTTTTAAACAGGAGTAATACTAAAATTTTGACGAGGGCCCACCAAGTGAAAGTTAGCTTCACATTTGGGTTTCCACGGGAGATCTCTCCAAGCACTGGATGCTCTTAGTTTTCTTTTCTACAACCTCTCTCCATTATCATTGCTTTTGTAGAGAGTTAAAACTTGTGCTAGATAGCGAAATCACCGAAGACTATGCACATCTATTCTGGTGTCCTCTTCTCCATTAAAATTCTCCAAAGGTTTGTCTCTCTATCAATAATTCAATACGTATATATCTCATCTGAATCGGTTTGTACGGACAATAAATGCAGCAGAAAAGTCACTACTTGTTCTTCTCTCTTCCTTTTCTTCTTCTTCTTCATCTTGAATCAAGTTAGCTTGCTTCTTTTTCATGTTTGATCTACAAGAGCTTCCGTGAATTAAAGAACTATATATGTCGGATACAATTAGTTTGTAATTTTTAGTTTCAGATCTGAACAGATCTACTCTGTTTGACAGACCTTTTTGTGAACTTCTGATGTGTACTTCATTCCTTGAAGATGGTGTGTTTCTTGTTTGATCAGTGGATGGGATTTGAGATAGTATGTATGCATATGCCTTAATATCGTATGATTTGTTTATAAATATATCTACATACATGTGTATATAAATTATGTACAAGCATATGCCTTTGTGTGATATCAGAACGTTGGTTCCAGACTTGAAGCTGGAATACTATCATTTGATATAGAGATGGGTTTGTTTAGTTTTTAACTGATCATTACAACTATTGGTGTGTAATTTTGTTTAAAATCACTTTAATTGAATGGGTTGTTGGTAAAATGTTACATCTCCTACTTGATTTTCTTTGCCGCTGTGGTACACATTGAATGTGACACTAAGCACTCTTCTAGATCCCTATAATAAAATATGCGAATTCCATGGGCACCTTACTTTTTAGAGCACTGTAGAAAGGAGTAGAAAGGAAATTGAGAATGAAAAGTGCGTAGCATGGCCCTTCAAAAAAAAAAAATTACATGGTTGGGCCTTTTGATGGGTTGATGGACAAAGTCCTATATGTTTCTCTAGATAAATGGTAGCCCTTCATCTAAATAATGCTAGAGCTAGGTATCTGTTAGAATTACATTAGTTATAAACTATTTAGAGAAATTTGAGAACAATGTTAAACAGTATCAAATATTATTCTGAACCTAGCAAATATTAATTTTTTTTCTGATCGGTACTGATTTTTTTTAATTTGGGTGACCACGTTAGATGATTTCTCTTTACTGTTTCATTCCTGTTTATGATTCTTTTGGGTCTTTTATAATGTAAGGTGTTAGGAAAAAATATATTTTCGTTTGTTGGATAGTCCATCAAAAATGTGTTTAGTATTTCAAGCATTATATACGCATTAGTTTAATACCTTATGACGGACGATTAAGCTTGTGACTTTTATATGTATGTGTGTGTGCGGCTTTGTATTTATGCACACATACATAAAAAGCATAGTTGCAAAGTAAAATGAGCGTGTCCAGCATCTTATGTGCTCCACAAGCTTGAAGAAATGTCCATCTCATAACTTCCGTTTGTTTTTGCTTTTCAAATTTCTGGAACTTACATGCCAGTACAATTCTATGTAATACATGTGCATGTATATACGCATGTGTTTAACATAGAATTTTTTTTTGCTTCTTCTGTTTTTGTTTTCCTACTGATATTGTTGATTTTGAATGTAGCAAAGTAGCCATGTATACACGCATGTGATTTTGAATGTGTTTTCTTATTCGACCATTTTATGCTTTGTATGTTTATATATTTTGACTTTTTGATGACTTGTCTAATGGCATTGAATATTCCTTTTCATAAATGTCTGAAGGTCAGTTAAACAAGACTAAAATTTCTTGCTATCCTACTACATGGCCTTGTAACCTAGTTCCAGTTACATGATTGTGAAGGGCTGCTTACTTGTTAAATTACGTTAATTTGGATGCATTGTGGTAATATTGACATTATACTGTTTTTATCATAGTTAGGAATATTTGAAGTTACTTATGATTTTAACATTTGCAATCAACATTTTAACATAGGTGACTAATGCAGAACTTGTTTATGTTTGTGCAGTTTGTGGCATTTAGCATTATCACAATCTCCATGGGCCTAGGAGGAATTTTGAAGTTTTGACTCGAAAAGATGCAGATGTGAAGCATAAGCAAGGGTTACATCACGCGACTTTGTTCAAAGGTTCAAGACATTGCTTGTGATGGCAAAGATGTCATCGAAACTTTTGTGCTCATGTTGCATTCAAAAGGGAGAGAGGAGGAGGTAATATCCAATCCTTTTTGTCCTCTTGATTGCAACCCTGAGGACAAAAGTTTCAATGACATCTTCAACATCGTAAGCGAAGTCTTCAATCTCTATAACAAAGTTCCGCTCTGTAATCCCTTCTTTATGCTTTGCATTTGCATCTTTAAAAAGCTTTTCGTTCATCTTAGATCAGCTTGAATTGCCTCAACAAGCGTACTCTAGTTAAGAGTTTTGCTTCTTCAAACAACCAATTACCAATCCTTTCCATAGTCAAAGAAACAACAGGCTTAACAACTATCTCCCTATGCGCTCAATGGAAGAACTATGGGAGCGTATTGCAGGTTTTTTTTCCCCTCAATTTTTACAACTTTATAATTTTAGTCAGTGATGCCTTTTCTTCCCTGTTTTTGTTTTTTTCAAAACATGTTTTCCGCTTCCTATTATGAAAAATTCAACCACAGATGTACGTTACCAAACATATTTCTGCTTTTGACAGAAATGACAGCACAACAGAATCATTGCTTCTGTTTACCACAAAATTGAAAAAAAAAAAAAAAAATGGGAGTGGCTACCAAACAAGGCTTAAAGCATTGTACGTTTACCGAAGAAAATTGGCTTCATCTTGAGACCTTTTTCTTTTAAATATATATATTCACAATGTGGTGGGAAACCACAGACGTATGTTACCAAACATATTTCTGCTTTTGATAGAAATGACAGCACCGCAGAATCATTACTTCCGTTTATCATAAAATTTAAAAAAAAAAAATATGGGAGTGGTTACCAAACAGGGTTTAAAGCATTTTACATTTACCGAAGAAAATTGGCTTCATCTTGAGACCTTTTTCTTTTAAATATATATATTCACAATGTGGTGGGAACTTATTTGGCCTTCAATGGAATGATGTAGACTTATTTTATTATTTTAAATTTTAATTTAATTTAATTTTTTAGAATGCAACAAACTTTTGCTGTTCGTTGGACTTCTTACATGGTGAATGATTGTATCTTAATTTACTGTAAAGTGTAAATTGGACTTCTTACATGGTGAATGATTGTATCTTAATTTACTGTAAAGTGTAAACAATATCACCCGGCTTTTGATGGGTTGATGGTCAAAGTCCTCTATGTTTCTGTAGATAAATGGTGGGCCCTTCATCTAAATCATGCTAGAGCTGTGTGTCTTTTAGAATTGCATTAGTTATAAACTATTTAGAGAAATTTGACAATAATTCTTTACAGCCATCAAATTTTATTCTGAATCTAACAAATATTAATTTTTTACTGATAGGAGCATAGTCTGTGTGGATAAATATATCAGTGCTTAATGACCTTAATTCTTCTTTCCTCTCCCGCCATATCTTTTTGAACATGTTACGGGTCTTGACATTTCATGGTTCAAATTTTATTGCCGGTTGTATATTGACTCTGTTATGGCAGGGGTTAGTGAAACGCAGCGCATGCAATTAAACATGCTGGATTACTTTTGAAATTTGAAGCTATATGTTGCTGTTTGAATGACTGAGATTTACGATTAAGAGGCTCTCAGCTTTGCTTTTCCGATTGAGATGGAAATGAACTCTTAGTTTCACACCTTACTTCTAAGTAATTCTCTATTAACAACTCCATGTTTTACTCTTTAGTGGACCTCATTTTGTCGTTTTCTATTAGGTTGATATTCACAATTTAGTGGATCATTGATTTCTTTCAGCAATTGTGCTAAATAATTAACTGTCATATGATTACTTGATTTGCTACTCTCTTCATATTGTCTTGTTATGTACTAAATTTTTGGTTAGGCTACAAACTTAGCACTTCATTTGATCATAATCTTTCTAATACTTGGACTTAAAATGTTCACCTGACTTTTCTTTTAAGATGGAATTGGAGTAATATCATTGGAATTTATATCCGTCGATCCGGCTGAAACACCTCCCAACTCCAATTATTGTTTCTGTTTTTTGTTGTTGTTGCTGCTGCTGCAGGATTCTTTGTTTTATCCTTTATGTAATTTTTGTTTAGAACCCTAATAAAATACTTGGTCAATGAGTTTCTTCTAATAGCTTTGTCCCATTAATTGGATTGTTTACGTTCTGGCTTTGTTTGTTTTGACGTAAAATATTTTCCTCTGGAAAAGTTTATCCTTTTTTCAGGTGAAATATATATATTCTTTATTTTTACTTTTTCAGTGTTTGGCAAAGGTTTAGGTCGAGGTTGAGGTCGAGTCATCAGGTGGTGGTGTAAAATAACTTGCCAAAAATTGATGGGCAAGTTATTTTTGTTAGGTTTTAATATTTTTTTTCTTCGTAAATATTTTCTGAAAAATATTTTACATCCAAAAAGACGGAGCCTCAATGTTGCTGCTTTATGGTGTCTTTGTGCTTTAACTGATAGTAGGTAACAACCAGATCATCCCAATTCCTTACATTATACACATAGAACTAGTTTGCATGGTTTCATTTGGAGCATTTTACATGATAGACTTGGTTTCTTGTTGCTTCAGTTCATGAAATGTCTCTTTTATCGTTTGTGTTGGTGGTGGCCTTTGTAGAAGAATTGTAGCTGGAGATTCATATCTTTTTTATGGATGCTAAAATGACATTGGGCCGGCAGTATTTTGTGGAACCAATAAAGCTACCAAGATCTAAACCACACAATCCTTCTCAACGGGTGCCGCTCTCACGCTCCAAATGCTCCTTTTCACTATTTTTTACTTAATTTTGCCGCTTTGATCATAACAAAAACAAGTCATTGCATAAACTGGTTTGATATGGTTCCTAATATAGCATTGTTAGTGTTGCTGGACAAATAAATGATCTACTAAAAGACGAATCTAATTAAATAATACTGTTGCCCATGAATTCTTCTCTTTTTTTATTTTATGTTGCCTATGAATCTAATTAAATAACAGTGTTGGCATCATTTATTTATTTATTTTTTCCTTTTTGTTTTTGTTCTTGTAGATGATTCCTTGTTTTACATTCCTTTGCTTTAGTTGTTTACTACTAAAAGACGAATCTAATTAAATAACACTGTTGCCCATGAATTCTTCTCTTTTTTTTATATTTTATGTTGCCTATGAATCTAATTAAATAACACTGTTGGCATCATTTATTTATTTATTTTTTCCTTTTTGTTTTTGTTCTTGTAGATGATTCGTTGTTTTACATTCCTTTGCTTTAGTTGTTTACTACTCTCACCAACTTCTGCAACAAATATTCTATTTTGCAGATCCTTTGACGGTATTAGGCTATTTGCTTACAAATTGTACTTCAAAAGGTTGAACAAATAGTCTTGGTAGCAAAAATCGATCCTAAGACCTAATGCTTCATGAGCACCATACCTAAGTCTTTTCCAACTACATTAACCCCTAATAATTGAGATGGTGATTTTGACCGCGCTACCAAGAAGAATTCAAAATATGTACATCATCGAAAGAAAATTTTAAGATAGACAACCCAGCTGTGCAAATTATCAGACCTTTTGACAGAGATCAAAACCCTACCCTAAGTTCAAAATACAGATAATTGGTCTTGGGAATATAACCCAGGATATGTTTCACTATTTTGTGTTGTTCCAATAACAAAATAAAAAGAATAGACTTGAATGAAATTGTATAATACAAAGGAAAGGAAAGTGTAGTGAAACTAAATTATTGAGTGCATATATATATATATATATATATACTAACATTCACATATATGCATACTAAAATTCACATATATGCATATAATAATTTTATATTCAAAATACTACCATTCAAACCCACCAATCAGTCAACGAAGGTATGACAAGGTTGTGAGGATCTAAGAGGGTCTATACTAAAAAAATTTAATCATGCATAGGGACCAACTAATTAAGCATATTTTTTCGGTGTCTGAAAATTAAAGTAATGTCATTTTGATGTTTTCTATACCTTAATTACGATAGGATTGAATAATTAGGGTTTTCTTTACTGTAAGTTTATATAGAATATTTCGCGTATGGGCCTCATATTCAACTTGTTAAATAGACGTTTATGTAAGTTTGACTCATATTTGACTTGTACTATGAAGTAGCTTACTCAAATTTACTGGATGTGTTTTGTCTAATTCATCTCTTTTTATGTGCCCCTTCTCGAATTTGTTATTATATTTTACCCATACTTGTATTGAAACTTTTAGATATCCCAATTAATTATCATTGGACACGTAAGAATTAATCAATTATCATTAGACACGTAAACAAAAATGGAATAAAGCATACATATTTCTAACACATTTGATTGTATTCCCAATGATTATCGGCTTAAACCAATAGTTACCATGGAATTGTTGGGAAACGTGTTAGTTTTAAAAACTTTTTGAAGGATTTTGATTCATAAATCTGGATACAAATATTGAAAATATAACCCTCTAACTATTAATTACATAACTACCCAAAGTGTCGGTTTAAGGATCTTGAAAAATCTGCCGAACAAATCAAAGTAATTATTAATTAATAAAAGAGTTTATACTTTTCTCATGCTTAAGAGTCAAATGCCATGACAGTGATAGGGAGCAATTGCATACGACGGCTCTCGCAATATATCTCAACCTAACGCGAATCCAGTTCAAGTCTTAATTAATTATGAGTCCATCCATAATTACCGACTATGAACCATTTATGATTACTATTTATATTTATGTATTGATCGCCATCACATACATATATAAATATCTCTTGTAATCAAGTGGACACTATCAATTTTATAATGAATCGAAACATAATACATTGAATTCACCAATTGTATAAAACATAAATATTTCAAAAACATCAGGAACATATGTCAATTTAATCCAAATAGGAATTTGCTATGCCAGGGCATATAAATCCCAACAGTTCCCACTTGCCCTCATAGCCAATTCAAATTGGATCTAACTCCAATGTTATTCAGATAACGATTAAAATTATTAATCAATAACACCTTTGTTAATAGATCAACAAAGTTGTGTTCCAATGCAATATTCTAGCCACAAGTATATTTTCTTGCCGGACAATATCATGTAGAACATGATACTTCGTCTAAGTGTATCTTGTTCCTCTATGGAAGCTTGGGTCATTGGTTTGGACTATTTCTGCACTATTGTCGCAATATAGCTCGATAGGCAGACTAGTATGCTCCACAACCTCTAAATCAGTGAGATCAAACCAAAAAAGCTTCCATTATCGCCTTTAAGGCTGTAATGTACTCCACTTGCAGGTTTAAGTCAGCAGTTGAAATCTGGTTAATAATCTACTAACTGATTTCCCTTCCATTGAGTGAACATACATTAAGTCATGAACCTCATAGTATCTACTTCTGATTGAAAATCAGAACTAGCATACTTGACTAGAACCATATCATCACATCCATAAATGAGTATGATATCATTGATTCTCCTTAGGTACTTAATGATATTTTTCACAACAGACCAGTTGTCAAGTCCAGTATTGGACTAATCTTTATTGACTATCCCTACTATGTAGCGGATGTCCTGTTTGGTATAGACCATGGCATATATGAGACTCTCATATGCCGAAGCATATTGTTCCAGTCTCATTTGCTCAATCTCCTTTGATAGTCTTGAAAAACTACTTACTAGAGAGAGCCATCCATATCAATAAAGCAAGAGCTCATTCTTTGAGTTATGCATACCAAACCTGGTCAAAACTTTATCAATGTAGGATTATTAAGATAAGCCTATTTTCCTTTTAACCTGATCTTGCAAAAGTTTGATCCTAGGAATATAGCTTACATCTTGAAAATCCTTCATTTGAAAGTAATTGAACAACTACCTCTTTATTGATGACAAAACTTCCACAGCATTCTGAATGAGTAGGAAGTCATCAATATATATAGAATCAGAAAAATAATGACATTCCCTTGTACACTCATGATTTATTCACTAAGAAATCTTCTGGTATCTTTTTGTAGATTAACTTACCTTCCATAGGAATCACCCTACTAGAAAGTTCTACAAGATCTCAGAATTTATTAGAATACATAGATTCCAACTCTGATTTCATAGTAACTCGCCAAAATGATCTGTATCCATATCGGTTCACACTTCCGTGTAGTTTACTGGGTCCAACTCATGTTTAACAGGGATATCCATAACGGTCTCACCTAAAAACATGATTCTGTCGGATTGGATGATAATCCTCCCACTACATCAATGTACCGATGCAGGAATCTGTGTACTAGATGATGCTGATGCATCAATAGGGAATTCAAATATTATTCTCAATCTCTATAATAAGTGTATTCACATGTGGTACATCTGGTACTTATACTATATTATCTAACATTATGCTACTAGGTATGTGATTCATAATATGATTCTCCTATAGATAAACAGTGAGTGTAAACAATCAACTTTTATCATTGAGATCATAAAATAATCCGTCCTAGTGACTTTTAGAGTAGCTATCAAATCTATCATGCGTATGATCTGTTTCCAACTTACTTGTCCATATCAAGCGCACATGTGCAAGACTACCCCATATGTGCATGTGATTCAAACTAAGATTTAGTCAAAAACACAGCTCAATGGTATCCTTGAGACAGACTAAGATGGAATGCAGTTCATAATGCGCATCGATGTCATTAACGCTAAACTCTTAAATGATAGAGATAATAGCATTACAGATCATAGATCTAACCATGTTAAGCGGAATTCTGTTATTCCTATTTGACACCTAAATCCATTTAGCGTCAATTGCGGAAAACCTGGTACACCATACCCTCATTGACCACATAGTCTTTGCACTATCCCAAGAAGTACTCATCTCCACGATCAGATCGGATTGTTTTGATAAGCTTACCTAATCTGTACTCCACATCAGTCTTGACACTTTCAGAATGTACAAAAAGTTTAAGACTCGTGTCGCATCAGATAAATTTATCCAAAACGTGAGTAATCTTGTTTGGATGTTCATAAGACCACACGTGTCTGTGTGTACCGACTCCAATTGTCCTTTATGTCTATTTCATTTAGCTGATTAAGCCCTTAGAGTTATCTATCCTTCAAAACAGGATTCACAAGTTTGGTTTAGGTTCCTCTGCCTCACTAGGTAATAAACCTTCTTTGACCAATCTTTGAATCTCATTTTGATTGATAACAATCCAAAAATAGACATTAAAAATACAATGAGTCAGGAATAACAAATTTTCTCTTAACATTCAATCTAGAAGATGCAACATTAGTTTCTACATCTTGTAAATCTTAAGAGCTTGTGATTATAGTATATTAACCATCTTTCAATGCACCAGAAGCAATCGCATATCTATTCAATTTTATAAAACCAGTTTTACAAAATAACAATACAGTTTTATAAATCACAAGTGAAACACGAACTAGATTGCGTCTAACTTCTGTGCATAAAGATAATTCTCTAATACTAATATCCTTATACTCTCTAATTTCATATGTAATATTCCTACTGACTTAGTTACAACCTTGACATCAGGTCAAGTATAAATATATATCCATATTATCGAGGCTTCTGGATTCCTGAAATCCTTGCAACAATTCCAAACATGTTTAGTAGCTCCAGAATCTATCCATCAGGAATTAATAGATACAACCACATAACATGACTCAATGATTAAATATACATTTTCCTATGCCACGTCATTGCTTAGACAGTTCGTCCTTTAGTGTCTTAGTTAGCAACAAAAGAAACAGTTTTCTTTGCCCTCAACATACACTGCCTTATTCCCTTTAACCTTTTTGAATACCCATGTTTTGTGCTAACCTAGTCCTATTATTATCATTCTTCTTTACTTTGCCCTTCCACTTGGGCCTAGAAGAAGATGGTATAGACTAGGTTAGATTAATAGGATCGTCTATACTTTTGATTATCCCTATATCTGTTACCAATTCTATAAGAATATCAGCGAGTGTGAACTCAAATTGATTCCTTATTTAGTTCACTCTGGAAAAACCGAACCACTTTGGTAACAAAGCAATAATCATGTCAATTTGAAACTTACCATTCAAGTCAGTCCTATTGACCTCCAGTTCAATTTTTAAATAATAAACAATCATTTTTCAAAATCCGATATCAAACTGGAGTTCCTTAGGCTATCTTGATGGTATTTAAATTTGACACAGTACTTAGGCATATGTCCTATCTAATCTCACTAAAACATCTCATTAAGTATCTTAAAATAAATGAATTAGGTATAGGAGTATTAAATACATTTTGTACCCTTACGTTGTGAATAAAATATCTAAGTTCCTTTTCCAGTCATTATAAAAGAGGTCCACATACATTGAATATGTTAGCAAGCAGATAACATGGATTAGATATAATTAATCTGAATATAAATGCATTCATATAATATGCAAGGTGAATTATTAATACTATCAAGGATATTTAAAATTAAAATGAGTTTGTTAGCCACATAATATAATAAATCTCAATTGAATAAGAGATCATTATCATTATTGGTGAACAATCCCTTTTAATTAATGCGAGTCCCTCAACTCTGTAGCATAATAAATCAACCAATCAATATGTCAATAACTTATCCTGTTGGAGGAGTTCATTATTACTATTGTAGAGATTCATTTGCTATTAGGTGAGCACTTCCATTAAAATAATAATATGTGGGTCCCTTAACCACTGCATGAAAAATCGGATAACCAATACGCCAATAACTTATTCGGCTGGCGAAATTCATTATTACTATTGGTGGGCAAATCCCATCATCTCCATATCTTAAGACAATGCCTTGTCTATCTATATGAAATGATTCCCGATTATGTTTAGCCTTTCTAAAATCACCTAATATGAACCACTCCGTTGGGGAGCTAACACTATTGATTTTAGATTGAGTGTATAATGTTATTAAAACTCTAATGAAAAATAAAACATTAAATATCTTGTCATTATAATCTAGACTCTTTAAATTATGCGTGGGGCCTTATTTTTAAAGATCTAATTATAATGAACATTTAATATTTTTATTTTCATGAGACAACCATTCTTGTAATATTAAGACTCTTCAAATCATGCGTGGGGCCTTATTTTTGAAGATCTAATTACAATGGTGTTAATAACGAAGGCCATGGGGCAATGTATAAAAATCTCCCCTCCCACTCAATATTTAATCATTAATAATTAGGGTTTTCATTTTATTTATTTACATGATATGATGTATAAAAAACATCTTGATTTTAATTCAATTAAATTTAGAAAATAACTGGACTTTTAAATGATTCACTAATATTTAATTTGAGGCACACTTTAAAAATAATTTACAAAAATAATTTTTTCGTTTCCCAATAAGTGCCCTCTAATTAATTAGTAATCAAATTCAATTAATTTTCATAATTTAATTAATATAAATCAAGTCATTTAATTAAATATCATGGATCCAATGCATGAATAATAATAATAAACAATTAATTATTCCATGCATCAGTTAAATAAATAAATAACAGACAGAAACAAATAAATGAAATGGCCAATGGATTTAGCTTTTAACATTAAAAACTAAATAATTATTAAGTGCTATAATTATTGCATCCTATTAAACTCCCACTATCTTTAAATAATGGAGAATAATATTAAAATCCACTTTGGGGCAATAATTCACTTCCTAATGAGTGATAACAGTACAAAATAATCATTAAAATAAAGCCTGGAGGTATATCGTTTGGTTATATGCACCGGGAGGAGTCAAAACAATGTCCCAGGAGGTCCCACGCGCCCACATACGCTTCCCACACGCTCCAAGACTCTTACACGCGCCAAGAGAATGAGGCAGCGCGTGGCATTCCTTGCCACGCGCTCAGACGCGCTTGATTGAAAGGCTGGCGAGTGGCATGCGCTGCCACGCGCCATTTGGCATTCACTTGCTCTGGCGCGTGGTCCTCATGCGCCAGATTACTGGAGGCGCACCGAGCCCATGCTCTCTGCATTGCATGGAATCATTCCCTCGCTGCCATCATTAATCTAATGGTTTGTAATCCGGTTGCACCATATTATGGTGCACTGCGAAGCACCTGATCAGTCGCCCTTATCTCCGACCATTACCTCGCCGCCGGCGACCCTTCGGTTGCCAGAAAAACGCCGAAAATTCCAGAAAATATTTTAAAAAAACCAAAAAATATAAATTAAGCCTAAAAATATTTCAGAAAAATTCCAGAAAATTCCTGAAGCCTAATTTAACCATCTTAGACCTTCTTGAAGCTTCATAGCATCCTTTGATGAAGATTACATGACTTTAAAAATATTTACAATTTGAAATATAATGCAAAAAATTAAATTACATCATTGAACTTTCAAACGGCTAAATCAAAGCCTTAATTACATTCATCCAAAGATAAAATTACATTCGAAAACCTATAAGCTTCATCCATGGCCCAAACACACATCATCATCCATTCATAATTATACATACATCATCATGTATCAATATATTAAATCATACATCAATATATATATATATATATATATATATAATTTGGATTTATGATGATGATTTTGATAAAAATATGATCTCTAGAAATGAATCAAACCATGCTCTGATACCACTGTTGGGAAACGTGTTAGTTTTAAAAACTTTTTAAGGGATTTTGATTCATAGATCTTGATACAAATATTGAAAATATAACCCTCTAACTATTAATTACATAACTACCCAAAGTGTCGATCTAAGGATCCCGAAAAATCTGTCGAACAAATCAAAGTAATTATTAATTAATAAAAGAGTTTATACTTTTCTCATACTTAAGAGTCAAATGCCATGACAGTGATAGGGAGCAATTGCATACGACGGCTCTCGCAGTATATCTCAACCTAACGCGGATCCAGTTCAAGTCTTAATTAGTTATGAGTCCATCCATAATTACCGACTATGAACCATTGATGATTACTATTTATATTTATGTATTGATCGCCATCACATACATATATAAATATCTCTTGTAATCAAGTGGACACTATCAATTCTATAATGAATCGAAATATAATACATTGAATTCACCAATTGTATAAAACATAAATATTTCAGAAACGTTAAGAACTTATGTCAATTTAATCCAAATAGGAATTTGCTATGTTAGGACATATAAATCCCAATAGTAATAACTTCTCTATTTATGTAGTTTTTGTTTGCTTTTACTTTTGATTGTATTAAGTGAAGAAAGTAAAGGGTGAGATGACTCTTGAAAGAAAAATCTTGCAAAATATTTTATTTTAAGCTTAACATATCATGTACATCTTCACTTTATCTATTTTAAAGCTCACATATAGTCATACATGGTAACCATTTACTCTAAGCATGTAAATTTTCTCTACCTTTATTTTATTTTTATTTTTTTAAGTTCCATCCAAATCAGAATAGAAAGCCAAGGCACAGAGCAACTGTCACCAATCTAAATATTGGCTCTACTCTGGAGTTATATCACATAAAATGGGAGTAGGAGCGAATTCGAGAGCGATAAAATTAAATCACAAATAGTAGAAACGGAGCGAGAACGTGCTCAAAACATGAGAGCGATATCCATTGAGAAGAATTGTGTGATTTAACTCTGTAAAGCCAAATTTCCTACAACACAAGTCAAAAATCATCATAAAAAGCCTTAAGAAAAACTTGCAAAAGTAAAAAATGATCCCTCATTTTATTACTCATTTGCCCAACAAGTTTTTCTAAATTCAAAAGACTAGTGTTTTAAGAATCAAAATTTAGAAAAGACCCCTCATTTGCTATTGAATTTCTATTATTTGTATTTTCTATATACAAATTTTGATAATTATAAAAGTTACCTAGATTAAGCTCCTAAAAAATTCACATAAAACCCTATGAAAAATAACCAAAATTATTGAAGACCTCTCATTTTCTAACTCATTTGCCTAATAAAATTTTCAAAATTCAAAAAACGGCCCACCTTTTGTTCTCCTTCCAAGGGCTTCACAAAATTTTAAAATTAAAATTCAGAAAAAACCCTTTCATTGCTATTTATTATTTTGGTTCGAAATTTCTTATCATGTTATTGTTAATGGTTGTCTCCACTGAACTAAATTCTTGGCTCCGCCACTGTATTATCTCCTTATTATGTTGGCCAGCTTTCTTTTGGAAAAAATGGACGTGCACGACGCACCCAAAAATTTTAGCTTGTTTTTGGGTTTCTTTAGTTGTTCCATAGGGCCCTATTAACTCATACAGACCTCTAAATTTGGGCTTGAACAAAAAATAATAGACTACGATAGGGTTTCTTCTGTACACCATTGATTTGCAATGGGATTTGCTAGGTCAGGAGCTTCACACAGCAACAACCCCCATGGAAGCACTTAGATTCTCCATTCCTACAAATAATGGACTAAAATGGTAAAACAATACAGGAGAATTAGACCTAGCTGCTTGACAATCAAACAAAATATACATTCACAAACTCATACATATCTAAGAAGCAGTTCATCTCTCATCTACAGCAGTAGCCAACACCCAAGGCGCCAAATCGAAAAAAAAAGACCAAACTGTTAAATACCACGGATAAGTCATAATCTAAGTTCCCACTTACATTTATTCAAGGAGTCTTGTGATGTTGAACTAACAACACTCAAACTGTACCACCATAAAGAATCTTAATGCTAACTACAACTTCACTTAGTATGACCTGTTAGGTTTCGGAGATGAAGACTTGGATTTGGCAAAATCAACCAGATCTTTGAAGAGTGCATCTTCCGATTTCTCCTTTTTGGTAGGGGTAGATGAATTAAGAGAGAGAGATTGGGTCTGCCCAACTAAGCTTTCATAAGAGGAACCGGATCCACTACTTGAATGAGATGGACCACCAGAAAAGGCTTGCTTTTGCTCAAAGAACTGCTGTCTCTGGTTATACTTGGAAGGTGGTGGTGGAAGGATGCCGGGAGAAGGATTGTCCCAAGGAGCTGGAGGCAGAGGATCAGCAGATTTTGACATCGGAGCTGGCTCATCATACGTAGGCTGCCCAGTGAACATGGATGCTGTGGGGTTTATGAAATCAGATGGAGGGGATGATGAAGATTGTGTTGGACTTGATGGTTGAAAGGTGGTTGTGTGGTTTGAATGAGTTGGGACTGGAATAGGAGTGGATCCCGATGCTCTGGAAGATCTTTCAGAATCAAAGCGATCACCACTTAGATAATCCATCAGCCCAACATCTGTAGTGATAGGTTTCTTTGATGAGGGTGGAGGAGGAAGAAGAGGGCTGATTCGCACAGGTTCATTCTTAACACCGACAGCTTTTCGTCCCTGTCCCTGTCCCTGTGAAGTATCCCTTGATGACCTGCATTGGTAAATAGATTGTTAGTATAAAATATTTTGCAAATAATGACCATTGGAAATGTACTAGAGGACCAACACGCCCGTGGCCTAGCGCTACCAGGCCCCTATTTCCCAAAAGGAGGTCAGGGATTCAAACCTTAGTGGAGGCATGTGTGTGAAGTACTAGAGGCATAGTTCTCTCTATGGTGATAAGATGCCGACAAAATTGAAGGAATTTTGGACCATCATAGTTTACAACCCGCAAATGGAGATGCTACATCATGATTTTGTCTTGATGTGAAACAGGATAACGGAGAGTCACCGACGCCTGAAATATGTTTTAAACCATCATTGTGTTCGTAGATCTGTTTCTTGCACACTATACATGACACCTAGACATAAAAGACGTAGAATGCATGTGTTTTCATTTTTCTTGGGAACATTTGGAAGGAAAACATGCAGACGCAAGAACAAATGCAATTCAGCTTACAAAAGGCTACGGACAGCCAAAGCTCTTATGCGGCAAAGTGGTATCTAAAAGGGAGGGTCCATTAAGGGTTTGGGAACATTTGGAAAGAAAACATGCAGACGCAAGTACAAATGCAATTCAGCTCACAATAGGCTACTGACACAGAGCCAAAGCTCCTTATGCCGCAAAGTGGTCTCTCAAAAGGAAGGGGTCTAGTTAAGGGTCCGGGCTTGTCTTCTTTTTTTTTTTTTTGTCTTTTTATTTTTTTATTTATTTTTTATTTTTTCTGGCTACTAGCAAAGAACAAATAAATAATATATATACATAGCAGAGAAACCATTCATTACTTTTTTAAGCATGTATAACTATATTCTTGCATTTATGCTCTAAGAACATAGATATTTTTCTTAACTAATTACAATCAAAATCAATAAAAACTGCACAGCGAAGTGTTTGTCCAACCTATGGAGGGTGCTGGGGCCTGGGAGACAAAGATTAGAGACAAGCCTACACAAATGTTATTGCTCTAAGCCTCAAACTTACGTCCTCATGCCTGTTAGCTTCAGTTTTTACCACTATAAACCAAGCAATGACCCCACAATAAAAATTAATATTTTCGTTTTAAATTTCTAAACAAGATAAAATACTCTTAAGGACTTATTTCTACTTAAAAAATATATCTATGTTACAGCTAAGTTGAAATTTAAAACAGTGTCCTACAGCTTCCACAATACAATTCTTTATTGGGAAACAAGGTATAACAAGGATACAAGCATGAGAATTGGTGTTGACTTATAAAAATAAAATAAAAAAAAAAAAAGACAAAAAAACATGGGAATTGGTGTCTAAAGCAAACAGAAGGAATCTTGTGGTATACTAATAACATGGCATAGTTTTTTCATGTCAACATTTCTGAGGCAGTCACAACTATGCATTTCATTGTATGGTGGTATTCCAAAGCACACTTAGGACTAAAGGGCAGCCAGAGACTTCCATTCTAACATCTACTTTGAGAGAGGTTAAGCATTCTGTTACATTGCACGTCTTCAAATGTTTGTCTAAACATTTCATGAAAAATTCAAGGGTAAGTTCCCCCAACTTCTCCCGAGGTTTGGCCTTTGCACCCATAGATTAAATTTTATTCAAATTGTGGTCAACCTCCCCTAAGGTTTGGCAAAAATTAAATTACCCTCCTCTATGTTAAATTTCCGTTAGTACCATTATGATTTCTATATTAGATGACAAAACTAAACTTAGATGGAGTAAAATTACAGTCATCACTCTAATCCTTTTTAATGACTGATTTACCGTGTAGTTTGTTATGCATCAATTGCCATAATAAAAAATCATATATTAAAATAAATATTTAACATGAATTTAATTGCCAAGCTCTAAAATCTAGGAATAATTGAAGATGTGTAAATCACATATATACAAAATTTGTTTATAGTGTAAAACTTTCAAGCTCTAAAACTGAAAAAATTGGAAAATTTCAAACAGTATAATTACAAAATTTGTATATTGGAAATTAAGTATGATATGGTACAAATATTACAATTAATTTGAAAATATTTAAATTTGTAAATTATATATTTCTATACATTAAAAAAAGTAACCTGAAGTTTAAAATTAGTAAATTTTGGAATTTGTATAGTTAAATTTTAAAATGTACGTATGTGTATATATATATATATATATATAAATCATTTCAATCAAATGGCTGGATAAGTCCGTAGATTACGGAAATTTGGACAAGCAAATTAGATTTATTGATACAAGAAATTTGGAATATGGATACAGATGATCTTATGGATACTGATATATAGAAGGAACCCAAACAACACACGAAGGGTTTGCTTTGAGGTTGATCCACAAATGGGAATTTGATGGTCCAAGACTTATGGCATAATGGATGTATCCAAAACTCAATACAATAAAGATATGGAGTAAATCAAGGAAGTGAAGGAAATTGGGAGCAGGATAAGTGGTAGTATTGAAGAAATTTGTTTTAGTTAGGGTTTCTACCACGTTGGATGAACTCTATATCTCACTACCGACAATCATCACTGTTGACCCAAAGATTTTGACCTAAAGACAATCTAGTAATTTTGATGATTACAAACCATTAGTGGTGTTTAACCACTAATGTCTACATTTGAGTGTTGTGCTAGATGGTCACATTTTCAAGTTAGCCCTCAATGAAGCAAAGATGTGCTAAGACACACTCCAAGCATTCCAATACACGTGAAGACATCAATGATCAAGGAATGAACATGGAAATGACTTGAAGATGCAAATGTCAAAGCTAAAAAGTATTCAAAGTTGACAAAGTCAAAGAATGCACTTCAATGAGCAAGAAGAAACCTCAAAGATCAATGCCAAAGCATGAAGAATGGGGTAGATAGGTTAGTGAGTGTTTAGGATTCAATGTCAAAGTATTTTTGAATCTTACTTTGAAGCTCACATCCATAGAATCATGTCATATGCATTCAAACTTCATGTTTGATCCTTAAATAACTTAGTAATAATTCACGAACTTCACTGATACATATATAATGACCTAATTCATTTACAAGGCCTTAGAGACCTTTAAAAGGTTTATTTATCATTGACAAAGGTCAACTAGCCGACTGGTTGAACTAATTGAGGCAACTGGTGACTCTAATTAGTTGAGAATTAAAAGGAGCAAAGTTTCAGCTGAGACTGGTAGGTACTCTAAACCAGGCGACTGGCTTATAGGAAATTTGAATTCAAACGGCTAGTTTTGAATTAATGCTCCCCAACTACCTCCGACAGCTCTTATGAGTGAGAAAACACAAGTGTGAGAAGCATTTATAAGATATAAGTGAGATATTTCAAGCATTCATTTGAGCATTCAAACTCTTCCATTCTCTCACTCATTCAATAGACTTGAGCTTTAATTTGAGATTCATTAACACTCTAGTCTTGTGAGCTTTGATTTGAGCTATTTATCTTTGTAAGAGATACTCTTATTGAACTACATTTTTCCTACAAATTTATTGTAAGGATTGGCGTGACCCAAAAGGAAGTCTAAGAGAAGGTTGTTCTCTTGGCAAGAAGGAAGGAGAAGCTAGTTAGCTTCTTGTAAAGGTTTTCTCTCCACCCGAAAAGAGAAGCCGTAGTGGATTTGGGAAAGTCTCAAGAGGGATCTTGAACTGAGGAGTAAGGGTTCCGAACCTCACTAAATTGCCGAGTTAATTGTGTTTGATTATCTATTCCCTCATCTCATTTAAATTGTGCTTGCTTTGATCTAGGTTAACTATCACCCAGTGTTGTTAAAGGCGTGCCTAGGCTCAAGGCACAGGTTGTCATCCCAGGCGCACTGAAGTTTACTAGGCGCGCGCCTCGATTGCGCCTTGTCTTGTTTGTTAGTCGCGCCTCACTAATTTTTTATTTTTAAAAAAAATTTATTATCATATTTCTTAAAAGCCAAAAAGGTTACTTTTGGCAACTTAATAAACAAATACGAAAGCCTAAGTATATGAGAGAAGGAACTTTTGTTCAAAAAAAAAAAAAAACTGTTGTAAAGCATAAAATGGAAGTAAAGAGATAAATAAAACAAGTAGAACACACATATATTACGTGTTTTAGCCACTAGGGCCTACATCCACAGCACAAAGAGCCCAAGGGCTGCATCACTTTTTATAATACTCTCTCGATTCATACACAATACAATGGTGGAGGCTCCTTTATATAGGAGAAGAAATTATGAGAATGGAAAGAGATAGAAAATAGGAAACATGAAAGATTATCCTCCACTGATTTCTCCAATAAATCTTCAATACTCCCCCTCAAGTTAGAGCATGAATGCCCAACTTGCCATTAAGATGACGAGTAGCAACAAGTGTGAATGATGAAGAGAGAAGACGCAGAACAATGCTACTGAACACACCGACAACCCAAACAAGTCAACAAAAAACTGCCGGAGACATGGCAAAGGTGAGGACAATGCTACCAAACACACCGACAACCCAAACAAGTTGATAAAAACTGTTAGAGACACAACAAAGACGAAGACAATGCTACCGAACACACCGGCAACCCAGACAAGTCAATAAAAACTCGGAGACATGGTAAAGGCGAAGAACATCACTGCCGAACAAACCGACAACCCAAACAAGTCACAAATAGCACCGAGAAACCTTTAGCAACATTTCAGATGCTAAGGGAATAACCCAAAATAGGGGTTCGAACCTAGGAAGAGAAATTAGGCTCTAATACCATGTTGTAAAGCATAAAACGGAAATGAAGAGATAAATAAAACAAGTAGAACACACATATATAATGTGGTTCAGCTAGTAGGGCCTACATCCACGACATAAAGAGCCCAAAGGGCTACATCCCTTTTTATAATACTTTCTCGATTCACAATACAATGGTGGAAGCTCCTTTATATAGGAGAAGAAATTATGAGAATAGAAAGAGATAGAAAATAGGAAACAAGGAAGATTTTCCTCCACTGATTTCCCCATTACATCTTCAATATAAACAATTAAGAAAGCCTAAGAGTCAAAGTGTCAACCAAATAGAGAAAGAGTGAGACTGTGAGATGAACAACGAAGCCATGTCAGTACTTTCTTCTTTTTCTCTCTCTTCTCCTCTACTTCTCTCTCCTCTCTTCTCCTCTACTCATCTCTTCTCATTTTTGTTTAGATCTCTCTCTTCGTCTAGTTCTCTTCTGTCTCTGCGACTTTTTTTTTTTTTGGTTCTGTTTTCAATTTTCTTGTTAACAGATTTTTTTCGGTTAATAGATTTATATCTTTTTGTGCTCTATTTTGCCTTTCAAAAACACAAATTATATTTTGCCTTTCAAGAAAACAAATTTGCGCTTTGTTTTATGGTTATTGGATGCTTGTATAGTTGATGGATTTACTTTTTTATATTTGATATTAATTTTTAGAATATTGATATGACTTATGAGATATGAATGTTTTTATAGTAGTTTAAATTTTCAATTGTGCGCCTCAATTCACTCACTCGCGCCTAGGCTCCAAAGGACCTCTAGCGCCTTGGTGCACCTTGAGCTTTTAATAACACTGCTAGCACCACATCACTCTCTTTGTCCTCTGATGACATGGTTAACACCACCATCAGATCATCCTCTGAATTAGTTCAGGGCAATACCTATTTAATTGGGAGAGCTTGGTTGTGTTAGTTCTTGGATGGGTTTGATGGTGTTGATGAAGCTGACGGCAGATGAATGCTTTGAAGGGGTTCAGTGGACTCAGACAGGAAAATAGGGGTTGTTAGCTTGTGGCAATGGTTTGGTGGTTAGCGATCACTGTAATTATGGTGGTGGTGATGGCGTACCCAGGGGTTTTGACAACCAATACATGGCTTAAGGTGAGGAACAGACTTTTGTAGTGCGGTGGTGATTGAAGGGCTCAAGGATTGTGTTTCCTGGGACGGATCTGCATTTTCATCAGAAATAATGGTCGGAATAGGTTCAGCTAGGGTGGAAAGAGAGAGGAGGAGGTGACAGATGCATCAACACATCGGATATTTTAGGTACAATAACTATGAGGGTAACTTTGTCATTTTGCACCTCACGTTTGACACACTATGACTTTAACTTTGACAAGGGATGTTAGAGTGATTTTTATAAAAGTGTAATCAACAGGTGCAAAGGCCAAACCTCAGGATAGGTCAGAGTGATTTACCTGAAATTCAATGTATCTACTCATTATAATAATTCTAGCATTAGAATTCATCACTCATCATCTAGAAAAATCCCTTAACAAAATTTCAAGGCATGAAAAGCAACTTATTGAATAAAATAAATCTTAGAATTTCACAAAATAGTCTATTAAAGCCATTTAAAATTTAAATGTCATTACACGGCATGATCCCCGTTAATCATGTTGCTTGCAAGAGCAATGTGGTTATATCTACATTTGGCATTATTTGCAAAAAGTTATTCCCCTCGTACTTGAAATCACAGTCTCAAACTTGTTAGCCTGAGCTTTTACCATTTCAAAAGGAAAAAAGTCATTTCAATTTTCCTTTTAACATTTGTTCTATTAGCTGCCAAATTGTGTAATGCCCAAAACTTATAATGATAGATTTTACATCGTCAGCCAATTCCAATTCAAAGGGGAGTCCAAAACTGCATACTTCAATTCACCTTTTTCCAAAAAATCCACTTTCCCTTGTACATCCTGTGATCTATAACAAGCATTTTGCCTCCTGCCACCAGTCTCATTGCACCACCAAAAGAAAAAAAAATAAGTAACCAACCAATCAATGAACCCTATTTCATCACCTTAAGGGGCAATCCCTCACCTTCACATTAAAATATTCCTCTCCTTATCTAATACCTATCTATATCTTGACACTTCTCCTCCAAATTAATATCCTCAGCATGGAAAACAATTTCCGGACCCGATATTCTAATCCATAAAGCAAGACCAGTCATCCTTAAAAGAAAACAGACTTAAGTTTCATCTGCACACACCAATTACATATACACCAGAAACACATTTTCCTTCCAGCAAATGAAGATAAAAGGTATAACCAACATCCTCGTCAATTTACTAATTGCAACTGCACTGAGATAGCAAACACTGTCCCTCTAATCAACCCAATCACCATAACAAACATCTATGCTTATACTTAATAACATTACCCCATTGCTCTTCTTGAGTTGATCTGAAACCCACTCAAATGCATCCCTTAAATCTCCCCAGTTTAATCAATGAACTCTCTCTACAAGCTAAAATCATTTTGTTTGGTAACAGGTATAAGGGTAAAGCTCTTGCAACTTTACTCATTTTCAATAAAAGCAAGTTACAGTCAGCAATATCCTGGCTGATAATATCAATAGATTATTCTTTAGCAGACAACCTTCCCATGAAATTCTTGTAACATGTGTGACACATGCGCGTGCACAAACAGACACTACGAATCGACACTAACTGACAGCCTGCTTTCATATACCGAAACGGTTTCAATCTCCAACCCCAGTTTACATTGTTTTAAGTTCCTTCTCAATCCTTGAATGAATAGTTAATCACAATGCTATTGACCACTTGCTTATTCTCTTTCTGGAAGTCTTACCTTAAGTTGCTCGATGGCGAAACCTTCAAGGGAAATGTCAAATTCAAGATTTTCATACCCAAAGGATCATTTGCAATGTCATAATATTTCATCTGCTATCTTTCACTCAAAACTGCATATGGTAGAAGCAGCAGTACTCATCCCACAAATAAGAACTTGACAGAAACAACATACAAAAGGTGAGGTGATAGAGTCACCTGTGTGCTAACTGGGCAAAATCATCTTCTGATTCATCATCCTCATGATTCACAATCAAAAGAGGTGCAACTGGAGTCTCTCTCGTTCCAACTCCCACACTAGGGGTTCCTTCAGCAATGTCATCGTGCCGGCGAAGAACACGCTGCAAGTTATCATTCAACGCCAATCCCTTGCATAGAAGGTCCTCATCTCTAAAAGGGAGGCAAACAAATCCATCAGTAATTAATTTTAGATGATCAAGTTTTACCAAAAATCAAGACCATATCCTTACGCAGTACTGTTTACAAGTATCACAGCACGCTTCTGGTAAGAACGGCACTGGTCAACAAGGTCAACAATCACCTCTTGCTTTACACCCTGTCACAAAATCAGAATAATAAGAAAATAGTGCGACAGAACAAATAGCATCCATAATGTTTTTTGTAACAAGAGTGTTATGTTGAAAAGCAAATAAAAAGGTCAAAATATTTATAAATAGCACTAATGCAAATTACATATTAAGTCATATAAATTATGTTAATCCCATGGCAGATGATCTAGTATAGACTTCCTCAATCTATGAGTCATGGTATTCCTTTTTTTTTTTTTTTTTTTCTTTCTTAGTTTGAGTCATAGTTGTTAAAGGCTCAAGGCGCACAAAAGCGCAAATGCCTCTTGGAGCCTGAGGCGCAAGGCGCAAGGCGAGGCGCGCACCCGACTGAAGCGAGGCGCACGTTAAAAAAAAATAAAAATAAAACCCACCCAATAAAGTCAACATTCAGAATTATAATTTTTCACACTAAAACATTATTTAAAAGGTGGATTGTACATTTAAATTGAAGCAAATTGTAAAATTTGCCGTCAAGGTTTGACAGAATTATAATTTTTATATAGAAGATATATATATATATATATATATATATATGGGTGTGTGTGTTTATTATATATATGCGTGTGTCAGCGTGTAGAAAAGACTAATTAAGGAAAATGTGCAACCTAATACAAGATTACAGAAATGCACAAACTCACTCAATGACTTTTTTTTATCAGTGTCAAACAATTAAAAAGAATAGACACTTCTGGACTATCACAATAAAACTGTTTGGATTAATTAATTACTGTAAAACAAAGAAAATAAAAACAGAGACAAGCATAAAAACAGAAACAGATTGATCATCAAAGTTCAAACACATGCAAGGCACTATTCTAGACAAGCATAAAAATAAAAATAAAAAAACAGAGGACCAGAATAAATAAATAAAAAATAAAAAAATAAAAGAAGAGCAGAGAGAGCCGAGAGAAGAAGAATAGAGAAAAATAAAATAAAAAAATAAGAAAACAAAAGAAGAGCCGAGAGAGGTGAGAGAAGAAGAAGAAAAGAAGACGAATAAAATTAAAAAATAGAGAAAAAAATAAATAAATAGAGAAAAATAAATAAATAAATAAAAGAATAAAAGAAGAGCAAGAGCCGAGAGAGGCTGAGAGCCGAGAGAAGAAGAAGAACTGAAGAAAAGAAGAAGAAGAATAGAGAAAAAAAAAAAAAAATCTGAGAGATCCGGGCCTCTGGCAGATCTGAGAAGAGAAGAAGCAAGAAGGAGAGAAGAAGAAGAGAAGAAGATGAGAGGGAAGGAGAACTTACCTGCAGACGCAGATCCGAGAGTCTCAGTCCAGGCTTCGCAGATCAGGCTCTTCACTCTTGTCTTGTACTTCTCTGTCTCTTCTTTCTTCGCGTTTTGGTTCTCTTTTCTTTTTCGTTTTTTTTTGTTTTGTAACTTGTAAGTCTTGTATAGGTTTTGTAATAAACAAATAAAAACTAAGAATAAACAAATAATAAACCATACACATCCAAAATAATAACAAAATAATTATAAAAAAAAACTATTTTTCAAGCAGGCACGCCTTTAGCGCGCCTGTAACCTTGCGCCTTTCTCTTAGAGGCGCTCGCCTACTACAACAAAGTCGCCTTAAGCCTTTCAAGGCGCCAGGGTGGCGCCTGGAGGCGCCTTGCGCCTCAGGCGCGCACCTTCGGCGCCTTTAACAACTATGGTTTGAGTCATGGCATTCTAGTAGACTCAGACCAAAATGTGGATCATTCCAACAATAATAGGACTAAATTTTAATTTCCTTACCATTTCTTCTGCTTTTGTATCTTTTATTCTGAAGAAATAACTTTTTAAGAGCTTTAAATAGATTCTCTCCATCAACTATTTTTAATCATGACACTTACCTCTGATCTTCCCCAAGCATTTGTTGTTCATCAAATATTATGATACCAAAATTTAGGAACCTTAATAAGAACAGACACTTCCCGACAAAAATGTTATGCCTTGTTTTATCTTCCAAAATACCGTAAAGAATGGGTTGACCGAAGTATATATTTGATAAATAAGAGAATAACATGGACTAACCTAATTATATGTGACGCAGGACAAGTAGTAACCAAAAAGAAAGAAGGGGGTGAGAATGAGAAGATGAGATGAGACTAGACGAAGGAAGTGAGAAGACATAGGAAGAGAGTTCGCAAACTCACGATGTTATTCAATAATTCAAAGCTAATTTGGTTGATTGCATTGTAGCCTTTACATAGGCAAAACATAAACAAAACAATGAAGTAATAAAATATTCTTAAAATTAAAAGACTACTAAAAGTAACCATAGGCATATATAAGAGCCCTAATTTACTAAAATCCCTAATCCTTTCTTTCTTTTCCCCTTCTCCAATGGTAAGTGTGGGTCATATGTGGTTCTAGCTCTTTGGTTGTGCCTTGTTCTCCATCAATATGTTTAATAAAAATAAAATGAAATAACACTCCACTCACCTTGAGTTTAGAATAAATTCCAGCTTCACATCTTATCAAAACAAATGCAGGTAGTTAAGTATAACAGCGATTCAAGAAACATAGAAACTAAAATGAGTAGTAACTAACTTCTATACGCAAATATATATATATATATATATATATATATATATATATAAAAGAAAGAGCATGGTGTGCATGTGCGTGTGTTTTCTTCTATGCGTAAACACAATTATCAATGCAAGCTTTCTAAGAAACTATTAATGTAACAGTCACAGGCTCGAGCAGAGCCTTCGGACAATAAAATGAGTAGAAGTAACTTCAATTTGCAAAGATAGAAAGAACACAAAAACGTAGTGTGTGTGTGTGTTTTCTTGTGCATGCGTAAACACAATTATCACTGCAGGCTTTCTACAAAAACTGTTGATGTAACAGTCACAGGCTCAAGAGCAGCGCCTTCAAACATTCTCAGGGCCTCATGAATCTCCAGGATGGGGGCAGAAAGCACTTGCATCTTATCAAATGTGAATCTTGTGGTACATGTAGATGCTAAAATGCTCTTGACAAACCCAAGTATCTTCCTAAAGTTTTTTCTTTACAACCTTCCTCCAATTAAGGTGACCTTAACAAGGAATACTTCATTCTTGCAATTCTGACGAGAGTTTGTCGATAGTTGAAGATGCCATGACAGTTTTAAGATATAACTCTCACTTATAAATCTTTGTACAAGATGACTGAAGAAGATAAAGATCAGTGACATTGAATGAAATTTTGGCTGTTGATGATATATTGGATTTGAAGTAAGATCAACAATGTGGTTCCAAGAATTACAGTGCAAATGAGAAGAGGGAGCTCTGCAATATATCCAAAGGGAAATTAGAAGATAACAAGAATATGTCAAGAACCATAGTAGAATCTTCTTCTCTCTTCCTTGTTTCCTTCTCTTGAAATCTTTACTTGGCCTATGCATGCCACTACGTCTTACTGTTTACTGAACCCATATGCTTTTCTTAGCTGTGCTGTCTCAGTAAGATGACTAAGTCATCATGACTAGGGATTATTTATGTGCATGAAATGCAACAGTTGCGCCCATGATAGATATAATATGATCAATTAATGAGAATAAAAAGGAGAAGTGTAACCACAGTTCACATCAGCTCCCCATTAACTGACATTTATTTTTCCTAGGCAAGATGGAAAATTTTACATATATGAAACGATAGAAGCCATTAATTGACATTGGGTAAATTTAAGTATATCTCAATGAGTGCAAATCACATAATTGGCACAAAGATAACATGGCCAATTTAACTATAACTAGCATAATGATTAAAACAAATATTTACTATTAATACCACATAAGATAAAAGAAAAAAAAAAAAGGTTACATGTTCTATTATGCTGAATAAACAAATCTCAAATCCAAAAACCTTGATCCGAATTGCAATAATCCAGAGGTAAGAGAATAAAGAAATATTGAAATAATAATAAAATACAACAATCAATAATATAAATGGCTTTACCAAGATTTACAATAGAGTAACTTATCGAAGGTTTCTAAAGCTGAAACGTCTAAGTGAATAAAGAAGATTGATATAATACGAGAGAGAGAGAGAGAGAGAGATTATAACCTCACAATTCTGAGGATCCAAGGCACCAAGCATTTCCATTAACACATCTGCTAGTCCCTCAGCATTTTGGATCTCTACCAAGCTGCATAAAAATCAAATATATAGTTTATAAAATTGGAAAAAGCAAACTGCTGCAAAAAGATTTCAGCAGGATATGCGGTCCAGAAATGTACAAGGAGGTGTAGCCCACATCAGTTAAATTTTCACAAGACAAATGGACAAAAATGTGGAAGGTAAGCTAGAGCCTGAATTTTTGTCCTACACATGCAGGGGGTTTAGATACAAGTGCCCAAGAGTTTTACATAGTCGTGTTAACAATGGAAAACAACTCTTGATTCAGGAAAATGTTGGGAATTTTGTGGATGTCAAATCAACTTTTGATGAATCTTGTGAATGGGAAGATGAAGACGGAGAGTTATTGGGGGTACACTCAACTTTCTGGCTTCCAAAATTTGACAACAATAAAAACAAACATGAAGAAGAATTTTTTTTATTAATGGTGTTGATTTACATGAGAAAAGAAAATCAAGTAATGCAATCGAAAAAAAAGATGCAACAATTAAAGTTAAATCAGGCACTGTGAGTTAGAGATTGAAGAGGACAAAGGAGCAAGTAACACAAGACAGGAGAAATCCGAGGAAGCAGCCAGCAGCAACTTGTCAAAAGCTGAAACACTAGTCAATATTCAATCTGCATAGTGTGGGTCTGAGTGCAATAATAATAATCTAATTCAACAAAGTCCAGTAATGGTCAGCCTCTCAATGTGGAAGATGCATATCTGGCTTCCAAGCTGTGGACCACCAAAACTTATGTCGTTTCACAAATGATTGGGAAATAATTCATTTAGATTGAAGAATTTGGTTTTTAATGAAGCTTTTTCAGTCACGGAGTTAAAAAAAATTATGGAATTCTGCGTTTGTGGCATGATTTGGGATGAATTCTAGAAGTGAGATAAGCTGAGATATTTCAATGCAATAATCATGTAAATTCAGGTTGTCGTTTATAAGACGTTTTCGAGCAAGTTTTGGAATTCTATTAAGTTTCAAAAGAAAGCTCCGAAAGTTTGTGCAAAGGTGTTCTTTATTAGTGAAAGAAGGTCAGTGTGTTTTCATTCAAGTACAGAAAAGAAAAAAGAATGGACAGAAGGCCATGTTCGGGTCTTTGATAGATCATGGTATATTTGCTCGAGGGCGAGTTTTCTCCAAGGTGGAGGGGTTGGCGCAAATAAATAATGGTGCCTTGAAAAATGGCTTTCTATTTAATGAAGTCAAAATCCATCCTTATTCTGTAACAGTAATAATCATGGTTTGGGACTACAAAGTGATAGCTTAGGGAAGTGGTAAAAATGTTGTGTGCGGGGATTCTAAAAGTCCTATAGAAAAGCAGAGGTCATTAGAAGTTATATTATACAAGTGACAGATCTCTCTCTCTGCTCTAACAAGTCTTTATCGATATAATTTCAGAATATTATCATTTTGGTAACTTTTTCTCAGGCTTAATTCAGATTTTCCTTTGGAAATCTAGGCTTGTACGGTGATTGGAGCAATTCTAGTGTTTCTTATTGCTGTAAGTGGACTTTATTTCTGTTTGCTGCAAGTTATTTCACTCTTCGTTTACTGCACAAACTGATCCACCACCTCTGAGACGGGAATAATTCAATCTTAGAAAAGTTGATCCTCTGACAATGCCTTAAAGCACAGAGGGGACAGCGCAAAGTTCTCAACTGGGACTCAGCCACAAAGAATGATGGTACCATAAGGAAAGAAGAGTTGCTGGATACTGATAAAGTTTTTGTATTTTGTTTTTTTCCCTTTTATTACTTATACACAGGAAACTATAATGAGCTAGCTGTTTCTTGGAAGCATCAGGGTACACCATTTGATATGTTCATCAAAGAGTGCATCATGGATGAACCATTTTAAATAGCATTTCTTCAAGCTTTCTCAAATATTTTAATCATCCTAATAACTTGATGGAATTAGATGGTAAAACTATCCAATCAAACTGAGGAACTACAGCCAATCGCACAGAAACCAAACAAAACTGTTGCTGGGAAGACCACATGCATCATTAGAATGGAAATCCATAAAAGACCACCAACAAAATCCAACAAAATATTCACAAACAATTTTTAAGAAAATATCCATGACTTGCAGGAAACAAATAAAGCAGGATACAGAATTCAAGGAATACCTGAGTCCAGAAGCATCGGACTGAAGAGAGGCCTGAACAGCAGCTTCCTCGTATGATGAAGCAGGGTGAACCACTGGTTGAACCACTGGCTGGGTTTGTGGTGGAGTAAATAACGGTACACGATTTTCCTCTCGTGGCGGAAATTCGACTCCAGCAGCCTGTCAATTATCACATAAATAAATTAAAAATATATATATCAATTGACTTTCAAGATTCAAGTAAAATTAGAGAGTAACTAAGAAAAAGGAAAGGCAAATTTTAAACATGAAATAAAACCTGAAAAAAAAAAAAAAGAAGATTATATCATGTAAAGGAAGCAATAATTTGACTAATAAAAAAAAACTAAAAAATTGAAAGAATATATTATTTCATTAAATTGAAGGAAGGTCACAGGGCCACCAGAATATTAATATATAATTATTATAGTTCTATACGTAAAATTTAATTGTCTTCAAAGTTCAAACATAAGCAGAAAGAAAAATGCAACCTAACAGGCACCTCTATCCTTCGATGGCAAGCAGGTGAAGAGAGTGCTGAAGCCAAAGCTAAAACTTAACTGGAGTCCATTACAACCCTAAGTGGCTTTTCATATATATATATATATATATATATATATTCATATATACGTGTATTTTTATATATTATCAAATATGAAATGCTGTTCTTTTTGTTTTCTTTCTTCCATCTCTTCTTCTTAATTAGATGTCCTGCCAATCAGAAAATATGATTAACGATCCCTCACTTTGCTTCTTAAAGAGGCACCACAAATGACAGTCATCCTTTACATTGAGAAGTGAGAACTATAAACTGTAGGTACCAGCCTAAGGTAATATTTGAAAAATCAACATGGTTCTTTATAGGATCAGATTCACGAGCCCCAAATTACTGGTCTTGATTTATAGAAATCATATTACTATATTTGTTTCATATACTATACCCAAATTGGACCAAACAAGAAAGCATCAAAGGAATAGCCAGGATGAGAATAAAACATCGCTTTAGTAATATAGAGCTCAAAAAAAGATAACATCCTGCAGTTCTCCACTGACAAAATCCTACAAATATCATGATAGACTCCAAATCAACAAACTTTTAACTCACAAAAGAATATATTATGTAAGAACGAACCAAAAAAAAAATTCTAAATGTGTAAAATAACATATTTATTAAGATTGCACTAGATTTGATCCGGAAGATCCATTAGGTTCATAAGCACATGATTACATTTCCGTCCTTTTAAAGGAAATGTGACAGTAGCAAGTATTTGAAAAATCATGATGGGCCATTTGGAAAATTCTTCTTCAATATGAGGTTAGAAACGATAAACTCCTTGTTAAACTGTTATTGAGATCAAAGCAAGACCCATGATAGATTATTCAGTCTGAAATTAAATCTAAATTCTAGGATCCTTAATCATAGACTAGAACTATATCATTGGATTTTGTATTTAATGTAAATTATGAGATGCAAGTCTAGCTAGAATGCTAGATTCATATGATTAAGATTTGAATCTGATGCAGCGCAAATGCAAGAGGATTTTCTTCAAACAATTGAAGATCCTGAGAAGAATAGATTGAAATTGCAGTAATAGGGGCAGCATTGTTTATGGTCGTAAATCTGTTTTAATTTTGTGTTTAATGTTTGCCTTAAGCTCTAGTTAGGGTATTATTGTCATTTTGGTTTTATTTAATAAGTCATGTGCCTTTTAAGTGAGTCATGTGACTATTCAAGGGTTGTTTTGTCATTTTTTTAGCTCTTTATTCAGCTGGACTGAATACTAGCCTTTAGATTACATTTATTTATTTTGATAAATAAAGAAGCCTTTAGATTACATTTATATAAAGGGCTAGGATTAAATCTTTGCTAGGGAATCCCTTATGTCTTATAAAAGGTTGTTCCAAGTTATAATCAGCAGTTTTTGACGTACTATCAATATATATAGCCTGCTACCGCAGTTCTATATCTCTCCCCTTCTTTTGGGATTGAGTTGTGGGTGTTTAAGCTATTTTTTTAGCTTGAACTAGCTCTCTGGTTTCCCTTCTTACAGATTTTACTTTTCTTTCATAGTTGATTGCATTAGAATCCAAATAAACTCATCATATATAATAGTAGTTAGTTCGTTTCAACATTAGATTCAAAAGCTTAAAATCATAATTTCTTTTCTTGAACTCAAACAACATAGAATATTACATAGTTATTAAGATTCCACCAGATTTGATCAGTAACATCCATTAGGTTCATAAGCACATGATTACATTTCCGTCCTTTTAATGGAAATGTAACAGTAGCAGCAGGTATTTGAAAAATCATGATGGTTCAGGGGGCTATTTGACTAAAAAAATACATAGTATGTGTTAATATTTCATTCCATTTTTAGCAGAAAACTGACTGTAAGGGGGTAATTGCAATAATTTGAGTTAATCCAGGGGTTCTTTAGCCAAATTAATAATTCCAGTGGTTTTTTTTTTTTTTTTTGTTGCTAGTATGAGAGCGATAGTTCAGGGAAGCTTTTTACATTTTTCCCTAAACTAAACAACATCCAACAGAAGACTAGGTTTAATAGGAGAGAGGAAAGGCCTCTAACTAGCAAGCTTCTAGCATGGAAGCCTTGCCAACTACAAATAAGGGCTTCTGCGATTCAAATAACATATACAAATCTCTGTGGCCAAATCATAGAGAATTTGAGGTTTTCGACCCATTTACTGCCCAACTACGAACAAGGACTTCTGGGATTTGCATAGCATATTCAATTTTTTATGGCCAAATCATTGCCGAATTTCAACCCATTTACTGCCTTACTATGTACTAAATTGTACAATCAAATATATAATCTTAACATCAAATTTTTTTTCCACAAGCATACATAACCACTGTAAGGATTATTATCCTCAGGGATATTTTTACTTGACTATACTCTTTAACAAATGAAGTACTTAAGGATCCAGATTTAATTGTAGGTATAATAATGTTATACCTGCCATAATTTTTTTTGTTTGGTAAGTAAATTACACTACTAAAATAAAAGCTACTATACAAAGTGTTCTCTCGCATGTTAAGCAGGTAGCATAAAAGTAACATAAGCCAGTATACAACTAACAACTTCAAATGCAGATTCTTGTAGCCAACTGTTCTTTAAGAAAATTTAAAATATATATCTACCGTGTTAACAAAGACAACAAAAGAAACAATTAACCAATCACCTTTAGTTCATTATATGCAGCAAAGTATTGGGGATATCTTCCCCTGAGCCCCCCAAAAGCTTCTTGCCATGTATCTATCAAAATTAATATCTTCTCCCTTACATTTAAATCTGGCTGCACAATCAAAATTGAAACAGTGTGCAAGACATTAGTATTTAAACGGACAAAAAAAAAAAAAAAAACGAAAACCCCATGAGAAATCACGGTTGAGAAGATAATTAGCACCTTCTTCTTTACAATTTTGACCATTTCATGTAAGACGTCCCGCTCAACAATCTGTTGGAACACACTCTCCCCACAGTTTTTACTGAGAGTCTCCAATACCTGAATCAGAAATTTGCAGAACATAACATTATTACTGGACAATAGTGCAAATGTCAAATGCATAAGTCAGATGCTGATAAGTGCAAACAAATGCAAAACATTAGAAGAAGAGGTGGGGACAGGGGAATAACTTGTCTCATCATGAGCTGTGTCTCACTCTCAGAATGTGTCAAAAGAAGCCTCAGCATTCATTCAAAAATTATTGGCAAAAGAAGCCTGAGGTGATCTAGGAGATGTTAGGTCAATTTAAAAACATTGGTAGCAGCTACAATATCATTTTAATATATGTAAATCTCACTAAATTAAAGAATTGAACTAAGTGGCTTTGGAAAATGGCAATGATGCATCAAGAATACAAGATTTGCTTTGGCACATGCAAGCTTAAACCATTAGCAGAAATACTTCATGCAATCCATATTAAATGAACTCAGGTAAAAATCCATAACTCTTCATGCAATCTATATTATGTGCCCAAAAGTAGTATATAGGTATGTCGACATTTCTACGCATTTAATTACACTATATGTTTACTTATTTATCATAAAATACTACATTGTATGCATTGGTATAATGTAATGTTTAATCTTGTTTTAGAATATACTCAACTATTACTCATTTGTTATTCTGTAATAATATGTTTTAATTAAAAGCTATGTTGTTAAAAAGGGGGGTTTCTATCTATCTAATAATTTCGAAACTCTTCTCTGATATAAAATTTGAATTCTTACTTCTTCAACATGTTCAAATTGGAATGTGTCTCAGACACATCCCATACCCTTATCCACGTCACCTCGTCAACATGGATACGGGAAGGGAGATAAAAGAGCCCATGTAACACCGGACATGTGAAGGGAGATAAAAGAGCCAATGTAACACGGATACGTGATGGATGCTACATGGTCTACAATAAAATTCATGACATGGAACCTCAAAATTTTAATAAGCATTATACAAAAGAAGCAGACAGAAATGGAAATACTGACAAAAAGAGCAAGAAGCTGTATTTTAGGATTTTTGCTCCCTAGACGCTTCTTGACCATCTTCAGGGCATCCTTTGCTTGCCTGCATTTTAAATCCAACCAAGGGCAGAAAGATTATAAAATCATATATGGTGCAACTGTTAAGAAAATAACATAAAGGGGTTAAGCAGGAACAAAACTGACATGCAAACTTAAAGGATCTAAGAATTAAAAGACAAAAAGTGCACTTGCCACGTGCACGTAAAGATTCTAAAGTCTAAGCATGCACTTTTGAAGTCTTGATAAGAGGTAACACTAAATATATTTTGAACAATGATAAGCCAGACGATACAACTTAGGATATAGAGACACAGCTATAGCATATTATTACTTCAACTATTAGGAAGGGGGGACAAAATTATTCCAATTCAAAAATAATTAGTAAAAGGAATTTAGTTCTTGTTGAGTCATAACTGGTATGGATGCAAACCTTGGGATAATAGAAAATTAAGATGACACAACCAACGCCGTCCAACTGCTTAAAAAATCAACTCAACAAATCATATCCCAACTATTTAAGGCCCGCTAAATGGATCCTCTTTCGCAATTTCCCCTCTTTTCTAAAACCATAATTTTAGATGAATCACATGCTTCCATGTCCCTCTTAATTGTCCCAAATCATAGACTAACAATATCACTTCTTCACTAGTATGGTTAAATGCTCTTCATTGTACATGGCAAAACCATCTACTCAATTTTCTATCGTTTTCTCTCCAATTGGTGCCGTTTCTACCATCATCATCTCAAAAAAAAAATTTATTTTTTATTTTTATTTTTTTATTTATTTATTTTTTTTACATGTCCTTTACATCATTCATATTTTGACCACAACCATCCAACTACATAACATTACTACAATTTGAACCAGTTGATGAGGTAGCATTGCTTGGGTTAGAAAAAACACGTCTTTTGGAAACCCCAAAACTAAAGCTTTGGGCCCATGTCAACAATGCAAAGTTTCTTAATTTGTTGCATTTTGGTTTCTCAGTATATTTTGATAATTCAAAGATTAAAAGAATTTGGCATCAAATTGTTACTCATTTGGTTTATGGTTTTATATGCCTCATTCTTGATAGAGCTAAGTCCTATTTACAACTAAAATTATTCCCAGCTGGAAATTTCCTATTTAAAAAGTATACACTTAAATTTTATATTTTCCAAGGGTTTCTATTTACTTCACTTCCTATTGGCTGGTTTTGAAGAAAGACTTAACGCCAAACTTCCAATTTGTAAGAGAAATAAATCATATTTGTAACTTTATTGACTAATGTCTGTTTTAAGAAGCTTTTGAATTGCTAGGTTGTTTCTAGAACTGAATATCTAAATTGATGAAAATGGTAATTGTTTGCCTTTTTCTTCTACAGCAATCATTTTCTATACTTCTATTCTTATTTTTTTCTAAATTAATTAGCTCTCCTTCATAAGTATAGATTTCAGTTCTTATATTGTTTTTTATTTTATTTTATTTTATTTGTTTGGCTTGATGAGGCTGTTCATATGTCTATAGATTCTTCAGTTGAGCTTTTGGGTCATCTGACTGTAGCTTTTTGGTTGTATACACCTGTATGCATGGCTGGAGCCCCCACTTTGGCGCTTCTTTATAATTTACTTATTAAGGAAAAAACCAATTAAGCCGTGTATAATTATATAAATAATAAAGTAAAATACCAGCTTAGAATGAAAGTTGAGACGCTAAGGTTAAAATAAAAAATACAATTAAAGGAACTTATATTGAGGGATGCTCCATACCTTACAGCTCAAAAGTTAATACATATTCCTTCACAGAAGAGAAAAATACATACATGTATGGATAAGGGCAATATTGGTCTTTTTATGGCCCAAAAAAATAAGGGAGGGCCATTTTTGGTCATATTGGTAACATATTACTATTATAGACATGGGAACATTGACACCATGAAACATTTGTCCTTTGCATATGGCCCAAAACTTGTTGAGGAAAGCTAAAAATTAGTTGTCTGTAGTTTGGTCATCTATGATTTTTATTAATACCATTTTTTATTTTCTACATACGTTTTTTGAATTTTTTATATTTTATAACAAAATTAATTATAATAAAGATAATCACCTTTCTAAAATACGTAAAATAGACATTTGATGAGGGCTGTTGCCTTGTTCAGTAGTTTAATATTTGAATATCAGTGGTAATGGTACAAGTTTGAGCCTCAAAGCAGCTACTTTGTTCAACACCAAAGTTTAGGCAGGCCTGTCTTGAGTCCTCTGTAGCGGGACCAGACTAGGTAATGTGCATTTATATAGGTAGTCGATGAATTCTGAAGTTAATAAAAGAAATCTAAATACAAAAGGTGTTTACTTGCATTGGAGACTTTTTTCCAAAAAAGGTGTCGGTCCATAATAGGCATGTCAATGTCAATAAACAGTGAATGAATCCTCCATCCAAAAGTATGTAAGAACAAATATTCTATTTATTAATTACAGTCAATAGTCTTTTTCTAAATTACTAAAATATTTGGTGACTTATGATCACCATGTCACCTGATTCTATTAATTTCTTAATTTTCTCAGTTATATTATTATTTATTATAGTCATAAAGCAAATTCACAAAGATCTTTAATTATGTGCATTGCATGAGCTTTTTTACTAGTACTACATCAAGGGACATGTCCATTCGTGCCATTTATCTTTGGCATGTTAGTAAATCAAGAACATTATGATGAGCATACTGACCATGAAAACATAATTGCACCATGTTTCAGATTTTGACATCATGATGTTACCTCCAAAAAGGTCAAAAAGGACTTTCAGATGATTTTCAAGAAACCAGTAGCTCCATAGGGACTTTTAACTTGATACACTACTTTCCAACCCACAGAAGAAGGCATGTATAGCGGCAATGTGTCAGCTCTGGCAGAGAATCTCGGTATAAGGTGAGATCCCACCCACATTTGGACTACCATTGGGAAGTCCATTAGAACCAAGGCAGCAGGGGGTTCAATTGTTGAACATTTTAAAGGGATCTTCTCTGGAAGAGACGGTACCTATTGAAAGGGAGGAGATTGATCCTTAACAAAATTGACCTTGCATGATTTGTTGCATGGGGTCATCATTCAGGATGATATGGAGGATTCAGTTAGGTGGAAGGGAGCTTATGGTGGGACTTAATAGTGTCAAATTGTGTTATAAGGTGCTTAACAATGGAGGAGGTATGCCCTTTCCTGGGAAAATTATTTGGCAGTCAAAGTCCCCTCTAAAAAAGGATTTCTTTTTGTGGACGGGATCACAGTGGCATGAGAAGCCATATTGACCAATGTTGATTTGGGGAAGAACGATGCAATTCTGATGAAAGATATTCTATGTGCAAAAGGGCGGGAAAGAGTTTTTCTCACCTCTTAAACCTTCAAAGTGGCTTCTCCATGGAGATGCGTCTTTTATTCTATTTGTTTGGAGTGACCTTGTTGTGCCTGGGTGGACAGGAGATTTCTTTAAGGAGTGGAATCATTCTATTTGGCCCATAAAGGACTGGATCCACTGATTTGTCAACCCATTGCCCTGCAACTTAGAACGACCCATGCTGTCATCAATCACTTTAGCACTCAGTCCCTTCCATTTCAGTTGGTCTTTTCGAGACCAACTATAGACCAGCTAATGTTTCATGTGTGCATTCTGGTAAAGAAAGAACTGAGAAATTCAACAGAAAACCACTCAACCAATTCTCACTTCTCAAGCTGGCCATGATGGAGATCTGCGGTTCTAATGTAATGTTTTTAAATCAGGAAAAATTAAATTAAATTAAAGAGTATGGGCAAGTGGGCAACTACATTTTCACCCGGTAATACATCTGATATCACTTTGCACCCCTAAACTTTAAACATGAAAGTAAATCCTTCAACTTTCAGGTGGGCTAACTTACCAAAAAACTTAATCGAAAGTAAACAATTACAATTTTACCTTCCAATATTCCAACTATCTCCATACAACCATAAATAGCACTTATCTTTCCACTGAAAGGAACATTACCCAATTTTGGTCCCACCACAAGGCCCAGGAGACGAAGGACTCGAGACAGACCTAGCTTTCGATATCTCACAAACTAGATGCTGTTGAGACTTGTACTCGCGTCAATAACACTGATGGTCAAGTGTTTTACTGCTGAACCAAACAACCCTTCTTTTATTTTCTTCCGCTAAGAAACTAAAATGTTCTATTTATTTTTTTCTTCAAAATTATTCTTTCTTCTTTTCATCATGAAAGCAGCTATATATATCAAAACCTAACACCATCCCTGCCATTAACAATTATAACTATTTATTTATTACCACACTCCAGAACCACTGCAATAACTAACACAATAACCTCCATCTTCCCCACTATGATGAAAGCGATTCATCAACAGCACCACCATCACTCGATTACTAAGACCATCATCATTGGCACCCCAAATCAAAGTTACCAGACACTTGCTACCATCTCTGTCTCTTCCAAGCACCTCTCTGTCACCTACTCTAACAAAACTTCCATCCTGCTACTAATACATCTACCTTAAATTGCGTGTGTTTGTGCACACATGTGCGCGGAAGAGAGATAGAGAGAGAGCAATACCATTCTAAACATAATCAAGAATGAAAATCAAGAATCCATACCTCAAAACAATAAAGCTACAAAAATGGAAAAAGATCAGCAATCAATTGGCTCCTAAACAAATAATGGGAATATATTAATATTAACAATATCAACAAGATACAGCACAAATATAAAAAACTAATAAATCAGGCTTATGAAATAAATTAAATATGATAATTAAACAAAACCTATCAACCAACCAGGCTCCTATGTAAACAAAAAAAAAATGTCAATATAATTTAAATGAGCATTTCACTTGAAATAGTTTTTTTGGATGAACTTATTATTACAAACCTCTATTAACTATATAAATATTTGTGTTAACTTAGAGCAATTACACATGAAATAATAGGAGGTTATGGATGTGGCTATAGACGATAGTAAAAAAGGTTGAGATGTTTCTAGATTTGAGTGGCATTGCAATCAGGGTTATGTTGGTCAATTTAGTACAAGAACAATAGTCATGCAGAGGAGGCTTGAGTTTTGTAATTAGCTTAGTTGATGGTGACAGTAACTTTTGCATTTTGAAAAATTGAGGAGATTAATTATGCATAATTGTATTATGCATAATTGTATGCTGCGGTGCAATGCCATGTGCGGGACATGCCAGTTGCTTTAATAGTGTTCAAGGGGAGGGGGAACGAGAAGAAGATGGTCGTGGTGTTGGAGTCAGTGACCATTGATTATGGTTGCCAGATTCAATGAAGGGTTGATGAGCTAAACAGAGAACAAAAGAAATGGCGAGAAGGACAAAATAGATGGATGGTAAATTTGGATTAAGTTGTCACGGTCGTTCCTGTTGCTCTAATGAATAGCCATTGATAGCAGGGTCTATAAGAAAACACCGTCAAACTTTGAAAGGCAGTTTGATGCGTTTTTTAGTATATGGGTGGAAAGTGTTTCTCACCCAGGAATAAAGATGTAAGTTACCCAAAAAAAAGTTTTATCCAAAAAATTATATAAAATAGTTGATTTAGTTGGACAAGTGCATCAACTAAGAGGCCAGTTATATATAGAGAAATTTGTCACAACATGTTTGTGTATTTAAATCAGCATGTTTTTTTTCTTTTCAATGCCATAAACTTGCTTCTGGAATTTGGAGGTTTCAATATCTATCTTATGATGCTGATATACCCACGATTCATAACTTCATATATATACATATATATCTATATATATTATACATATATACAATTTTCTGAAATATATATATATATATATATATATATTGTACATGCCCTGGTCTGTAGCAAAACAACAAATTCCAGATGCTTAAGTTTCATTCTTTTTCTTCTTCTTCTTCTTCTTCTTCTTCTTCTTATTATTATTATTATTTTTTTTTACTATTATTATTATTTTTTCCATTTCTTGAGGCTTAAGTTTAATGTTTAATCAGGACTAATGCGTATTCTCACTATACAGGCTAATTAAGAGCCTAGGCTACACTACAGAATCAACAATATGTACAGAAGGTGCACTTGCAACTTGTGAGCATTATAAATGAAGTCATTACAATTCAAACAAACCACCACAAAACTAATAAAAATGCATGCTCTCAAGGCATTCAAAGGGTTTCAAATTCACAAAATGAAAACCTCCAATAATCATATAAATAAGTAAATGACATGTATAGTAAAAAACAAACAATTAACCAAGCAGAAGAATATGATACCCAGGGTCCATGTTTATTATATCGCATAACTCCAAATTTATTGCCCAGTCTGGACCGATCAGCATGTCACTTGTCGCCCTCTCAGCACAAGCTGCTGCATTATTAGCCATATCTGTCCACTGTCTACTCTTTCTCTAAAGTGCCTCAACTGTGATCTTCCTGAAAAGCACAAACCCACACCACATTCATTTATTCATTCACATTGAACCCACACCACAAATATAGTTACACATACAAATGCATATAGATAAACATTTCACTGTTCAGACAGGGAACAAGACGCCCACAAGAATTTGGGAGGTGAAAATAAAAGACAAATTATCAGAATCGAAATTAAGACCAAACAAACACAAAATTCATGGATGCAAAACCAAACCCATCAGCAGAATTAGAGCTTAACAAACCAAAATCAATTAAAAAGACAGAAATAACAAATACCCAGAATAATTTGATTGCCAAATTTGATCTTTATAATAGAAATGTACCAAATAGCTTCCAATTGAACAGACTAATTCAAAATCCCAGTGGATACAGATCGAAAAATTGCAGAGCCAAAACAGGGATATCTGAGAAGAATAAGTAAAGATCTTTGGAGTTCTACCTGTTAATACACCCACAAATCACAATCTAGGGAGAGAAAGAAAATCGATATATATATATATATATATATATATATATGTGTGTGTGTGTAAGAGAGAGAGAGGTGCAAATGTAAAGAAGATAGTCGATTTCTTTTCATGTGTGGAATAAACTTGAGACTTCTCATATAGTGCTCAATTTACCTCCCAGGATGCTAAGCTCACAGGTCCCCCTACAGTACATGATTTCTGAGTCACTCTGACAGACCAATAAGAATCGTACAAATCGTTGACTTTTTTGGCATTTACTTTGGTGGGAGAAGTAATTGGTCCGTTATTTTAAATTGTTTCTTCCTACTCTCTACACCCTTCTTTTGACATTTCTTGCTGGTTGAGGAAATAATATGCGCGTTTTTGCACTGCCACACCAACCTATGTTGAACAAGGGGAGTATGCAATTGACCACTGTGGTCTGTGTTGATCAACCCATCCAATATGTGTTGAAAAAAAGAGGGTCAGTGACCCAAATTAAGGGTTTAGGGGAACTGTCAAAAGATTCTTTATCGTGTTTGGTTTGAATATTAAATCAAAATTTTATATTGATATGGATAGGAATCTTTACTCTAATAAGATTTATTGTTGATTAAGGTCAAGTTTAGATATGAATAAATATAAAAATTATGAATTAGTGTGTGTCTGGACACATACCCCTATATATATATAGATATATGATTTTTATTTTAATTTTTAGTATAGAAATTTGTATATTCTGCCACTTAAAATTATTAGTTTCTAAAAAAAATTTAAATTTTAAAATTTTTTCCATTTTTACTCTTTAAATTTTTTTAATTAACTTTTTTTTAAAAGTTAAATTTTTCTTATTTAATCATGCTTTGATTTATTTCCTCCAAAATTCATTTTTCATTCCCTTTATTTTTTACTTATTCTTATTTTTTTAAAAAAAATAAATAAATTCCCACTATGTCCCCTTGAATTCGAATCTTGGCTTCGTCCCTGTGTTAACACAAATTCAATCCAAACCAAACCCATTTTAATAAATAAGATTTTTGAACTGTGCATAAATTATGTAGGTCGGATGTGGATCTAATGTTATCGAAATATGATATGAATTTGGGTTTGCATGGTCAACTTTAAAACCATTCATTTCATACCTCCAAATGAAAACTTATTCAATAAAAAAAGAGAATATTTAATATTCACTTAGTAAGAAAAGAAGAAGAGAGATTTCCCTAAATAATATTTATTAATTAAAATATTTATTACTCTAAGATTTGCACCTAAATAAAAATATTAAATTGAGATTTGCACTTAGTAAAAATAAATAAAGAAAAAATAATACTTTAAATAATATTTATTATTCACTATTTTTAGTTTAAAAAGAGAGAGAGAGAGATAAATAATATTTATTATTCACTATTTTTAGTTGTGTGTGTGTGTGTGTGTGTGTGTGTGTGTGTGAGAGAGAGAGAGAGAGAGAGAGATTTCCCTAAATAATATTTATTATTTATTGCTTAAAAAAGTTTGTGTAAATAATATTTATTATTCACGATTTTTAGTTACAAATTAAAATTAAAAAAAAGAGAGAGATTTCCGTATATAATATTGATTATTTATTGCTTTTAAAAAAAAAATTGTCTAAATAATATTTAGTATCCGCTACTTTCAAAAAATTCCTAAAGCTATGTGTATAAACTACTCATTTTCCTATATATTGCAATTATATGTGAGACTAAATATTTTTTGGGGAGCTCATAAAAAAGAAAAAGAAAAAAAGGTAGCTAGGTCCATGCTCTGTCGGAGCCATGTCACTTGTCATTCCACCTAGGAGTTTCTTTAACAATCTTGAGGATGTAAACAGGTCGTGTTTGCTTACTTACTAAAAAAACCCTCTTGAAGAGCCCCCCGCAATGAGTCTCACTGCTGCTTGTTCCCCTCCTTGAGTTCTTAATTTGTTCTAGCCCTTAAGTTGTTTAGTGGGGGTCTATATGGTAATTGCCACTTTCCTCTTCCTCGAGGTTCTCCCCGCAAGAAAGGCCTCAAACCAAAAATCATTCCTTCTCACGCTGTCCCATCATCTGCCTGCAGTTCTTACAACTCCTAGAAGTTGTGTAACTGAAATGATCATCCCAATCTTTTTTTAGCAAGCGGCAATCCGTCTTTCCTCACCCCCTTAGTGTAGTTAAAAAAGAAAGAAGGCCATGTTGCCAGAGTAAGGGACAATATGTTGCCACCATCCAAACTGTGAAAGAACTTTAATTGGAACATAAGGGACAACTCCATGCAATCCAATCAAAGGGATAAAATGATAACCCTTTGTCTTTAAAGCTACCTCGCGAAGAATTACTAGACCAATCTCCAATTTTACATCGAAAGTACATTCCTTGCAATATTTATGCCAAGCTTCTATTGGGATTTATATGTCCTGACATAGCAAATTCCTATTTGAATTATAGTGACATATGTTCTTAACGTTTTTGAAATATTTATACTTTATACAATTGGTGAATTCAATGTATTATATTTCGATTCATTATAGAATTGATAGTGTCCACTTGATTACAAGAGATATTTATATATGTATGTGATGACGATCAATACATGAATATAAATAGTAATCATAAATTGTTCATAGTCGGTAATTATGGATGGACTCATAATTAATTAAGACTTGAACTGGATCCGTGTTAGGTTGAGATATATTGCGAGAGCCGTCGTATGCAATTGCTCTCTATCACTGTCATGGCATTTGACTCTTAAGTATGAAAAAAATATAAACTCTTTTATTAATTAATAATTACTTTGATTTGTTCGGCAGATATTTCGGGATCCTTAGGCCGACACTTTGGGTAGTTATGTAATTAATAGTTAGAGGGTTATATTTTCAATATTTGCATCATTGCTACTTGTATTTATTTTGTATTGATTATGGTTGATCACAAAGTAAATTCAAAGGCCTTCGTATATTTTTAGACAAAATGATTTATTATATATTTATTTATTTAAATTATTATTTTTTATCAAAACAAATGTTTTTTTGTGATCGAATCAGAAATAATCAATGGTACCAAAATAAATATATTAATTAAGTAGTCGGATTGATGGCTTTATTTATCCGATAACTAATTATGCATAGAGGAGTCAAAGTGCAATATTGACTTAAAGGTTATTTATTATTTAATTGGAGTTCAATTAATTTCTTTTAGTGGAGTAGAAATTGATTTACGAATTAATTGAATTTGGTCCATGAACCAGGCCAATTATTAATTAATTGTAGCCAATAAAATAATAAGCCCAAATGATTCTCACTCATAACCCAACTTGATATTGGAATCATATTAGATTTGAGACATGCGAATTAGAGATTGAGAAGGATTTGTTGTTTCCTTTTCTTTACCTTTATGTTGCCTATAAATATACATGATCTATGTATATTTTGGGGATGATTTTTGGAAGAAGGAAAAAGGAATCTATTTTCTCTCTCTAGAAAATTAGGGTTTATGTTCTTATCTAATGGAGGCTCCTACAAGCTTAATTTTCCAAGGTCATTCATAGAGGCTTATGAGTGATTCCTAAAGGCAAAACAATTACCAAGAAGATGGAGATCCAAAGGGAAGGCATCTTGCTAAGGGATCTATAATAAGTGAGAACATTCACTTTGGAGGAAAGATTTAAAGGTTTACTCAGACCTTTGATGTAAGTATTCAATCTGTTAATTGAATGATACATCATAGTTTATTTTTGCATAAAACTTGTCTCTATGTGAAGAATTAAGATTTATGAATCAAAATCCCTCAAAAAGTTTTTAAATCTAGCACGTTTCCCAACAGTGGTATCAGTGCATGGTTTGATTCATTACTAGAGATCATGTTTTTATCAAAATTCATCATTCATGGATCCAGAATTATATTCATATATATTTTTATTGATGTATGTTGATGTATGATTTAATATGTTGATATATATTGATATATGATGATGTATGTATAATTGTGAATGAATGATGATATATGTTTGGGCCATGGATGAAGCTTATAGGTTATTTGAATGTAATTTTATCTTTAGATGAATGTAATTAAGGCTTTGATTTAGCCGTTAGAAAGTTCAATGATGTAATTTAATTTTTTTCATTATATTTTAAATTGTAAATATTTTTAAAGCCATGTAATCTTTGTTAAAGGATGCTATGAAGCTTCAAGAAGGTCCAAGAAGGTTAAATTAGGCTTCATGAATTTTCTAAAATTTTTTCGGAATTTTTCGGAATTTTTCTAGAATTTGTTGGGCTTAAATTTAATTTCTGAAAATTTTTATTATTTTTCGGCGATTTTTCGGCGACCGGAGAGTCACCGGCGGCAAGGGAAGCGCCGGAGGTTGGCCAGCCAATCCAGTGCGGCTCAGTACACTAGCATACGGTGCACCCGGAATATCAGCCGTCGGATAAGATCTAGAGAGGAAAGTATATGGTGTAAGCGCCTTCAGTGGTGTTATGACTCAGCCAACAAGCTGGCGCGTGGGGAACACGCGCCAGCCAATGCCTTCTTCTCCCAGCGCGTGGAAGCGCGTGGGAGCACGTGCCACGCGCTACAGCTTCCAATCGGCGCGTGGCACGCGCTGCAAGCTCCCACCAGTGCGTGCAAGCGCGTGACACGCGCTGGGACCCTCCAAAGGCACGTCCAGGCGCGTGGAAGACCATCTGGGCTCGTTCTAAGCACTGTGTTACCTCTTCAGGTGCGTATCAACTTCCTGCAGGTGTTTCCAAGCCGACGAAGGACCCTCGCCCAATAGTTAGAGCAATTGAATGTTAAAAGCTGATTCCATTGGCCATTTAAATTGCTTCTATCTGTTATTTATTTATTTATCTGATGCATGAAATAATTAATTGTTTATTATTATTACTCATGCATTGGATCCATGATATTTATTAAAATAACTTGATTTATATTAATTAAATTATGAAAATTAATTGGATTTGATTACTAATTAATTTGAGGGTACTTATTGGGAAACGAAAAATTATTTTCGTAAATTATTTTTAAAGTGTGTCTCAAATTAAATATTAGTGAATCGTTTAAAGTCCAAATATTTTCTAAATTTAATTGAATTAAAATCAAGACGTTTTGCATGCATTATATCAT